GGCAAGGAAAGCTAGGGGGCATATTTCCTCCTTTACTTTTTGTTGTTGTTGTTATTACTACTGTAGAAGTTCTGGGGAGAGATGTTGCTGGATTAGTGCTGAGTGCTCTGTCACAGAGCTGCAGCCTTAGCTGCTTTTTTTGTTGTTGCTGTTTTCCAGACAGGGTTTCTCTGTGTAGGGATGTGGACCAGGCTGGCCTTGAACTCACAGAGATCCACCTGCCTCTGCCTCCCGAGTGCTGGGGCTAAAGGCGGGCGCCACCACCTCCTTACTCTCTCTCTTTTTTTAATTTTTTAAAATTAATTGTTTGGGGTGGGGAGAGAGAGAATGAATATGTATATATGTTTATCTCCCCCCTCTCCTGCCGCCCATACACACATAAACACACACACACACACACACACACACACACACGCGCACACACACACACACACACACACACGCACGCACGCACACTCACACACAGGTGTGCGTGCATGCCCTGGAATTAGGTGGAGGTCAGAAGACAATTTACAGGAGTCATTTCTCTTTTCTTTCCACCTTGTGGGTCCTAGGGACTAAACTCAGGTTGTTGGGTTTGGTTGCAAGTGCCTTTACTCCTACTGGCCATTTTAGTTTTGTTTTTATTTTAGATAGAGTCTCTAAGTTGCCTAGGTTGATCTTGAACTCACTTTGTAATTAGGACAAGACTTGAAGTATTCCTGCCTTAGCCTCCTGAGTGGGTACAGACTTGTGCTATTAGGCCTGTCCCAGACTTAAGATTCTTATACTGGCTTCTGCCACCCAGTCTTTCTAAAATATCTAAACTGCTGGTGGCTCTTCATTATCATAAGGACAGTTTGCCTTTTTAGCCTGGCATGCTGGCCTCAAGCTTGCCCCCTTGATCTACTCTTTATATAGCCCACACTGCTCTCAAGCTTGGTACCCTACCTCACTCACACAGTGCTGGGATTGTAGGCTGGGCCACCGTGCCAAATGTTTATTTGTCCTTGTTGGAAGGACACTTCCTTTGCCTGGGTTGCTGTACTCATTTTCTCTTCCTGAAATGAGTAACTCCTCGTGGTTAATTAATCCTGCAGGGTTTGGCTGAAGTGTTACCTTAGTTGTCTGACTTCAGACATCACTAGTCTCCTTTCTTAGGACAGTGACTGTGGCAGGTGGAGGTTGGTATTTCTTTTCTTTTTCATTTTTTTGAAACAAGGCTTTTCTGTGTAGCCCTGGCTATTCTAGAACTCATTCTGTAGACCAGGCTGGCCTCAAAATCACAGAGATCTGACTCTGCGCTGCCCACCTCCCCATGATGAAATTAAAGGTCATGCCACCATTGCCTGGCTGATTTTCTTTTCTTCCTTTTCTTTGTCTTTTTTAAAATTTCCAGTTAGTTCATAATTTGTAGGAGGCAGGCACCTTTCTTAATAAGCTTTCCCAAAGTTTCTCTATCATGGTGACTCAATTATTTTTAGTGTGAGAATCTACTCTCCCTCCTGAGGTGATGGATAGAAATTCTCTTCCTTATAGCCCTCAAGCAATTTCAAAGCTGTAAGTTAAATGCCATACTGCTATATAGAGCTGAGAGAATTCAAATTGCAAGACCAATACGGCAAACACTTTTGACATCCCACTTTGTAGCAGTTAGCTTTATTTCCAGCTTTTAAGCATGGTGGTTTATCATGGGAATAACTGTTATTATCATAGATATTACTGTTTTTAACCTAATCTGTTGTTTAATAGTACACCATAGAAGTAGTATACACTAGTCATTTAATTGCCACATCCTTCCTCTTAATTAGGTAAAATTATACATGCTTACTGTGTACAACATACTGTGTGGGACATATGCGCTCTGGGCAATGGCTTGTCATGTCATATGTTGCCTGTCTTGTGATGAGAAGCCTTAGCGTGCCCTGGGCAGTGCGCACACACCACACTGCAGGCTGGTGCCTAGTGCAGTGCAGGAGAATTCCGATACCACTTTCCCTTCCTACCTGAGACTTTGTGGTCTTTGTGATCTCGGCCTTACCAGTGTCTCAGCTCCGGGGAACCAGCACTGCACACTCTGTTCTATGGGCCTGTCTCTGGCCTGGGGAAGTTGTCTTTTGTGCCTGGCTTATCTCACTTAACATTGTGTCCTCTGAGTTTATTTCATTTTCACAAATTCAGTATTTCTTTTATGACTTTGTAGCAATCTGCTGTGTATTTATTTTATTTTTTTTTTTTTTTTTTTTTTTTTTTTTTTTTTTGAGGCAGGGTCTCATGCTGGCTTCAAACTCAAAGTTTAGGCTGGTTTTCCCCTTATAATCCTCCTGCCTCCAAATCCTAAATACTGAAATTATAGATATGCAACACCATGCCTGGTTTTGTTGAATTTTCTTTACCCATCTGATGATGACTCTTAGGTTGGGTTTTATATCTTGGCATTGTGGATAATGCTGCAATGAACAATAGAGTGAAAATACCTTTTCACCATACCAATCTGATTTAACATGTATGTATATTATGTATTATGTATGAATTATGTAAATAATGTCAAACTTCTGATTGATAATTATGGTTATATTTACTAATAATGAGGTGTTAAAAATGATGATGAAAATTACCAGTTTTCAACTACAGATGAAATAGTAGTGAATGTTGTGAGACACCTTCTTTTGCTTGTGGTATATGTAAGTCTGGTTTTGAATTTAGTGCAGATTAGCCTCAAGCTTTCAACACGCTGCCTCAGTCTGCTAAGTGTTGGGATTATAGGCATGTACCACCACTTCTGGTGTGTGTCAGTTTTTTCCTCTACTTGATACAAGCTAGAGTCATCAGAGAAGAGAGAACTTCAACTGAGAAAATGCTTCCATCAGATTGTCCTGTAGGCAAGTCTGTGGAATGCTTGTTTGATGATTGATGTGGGAAAGCTCAGCCTATTGTGGACCATACCCTCTGTGGAAAGGTGGTCCTATGGTTATAAGAAGACAAAGAGGGATAGAGAGAAGGTTCAAAGGTTAAAAACACTGGCTACTCTTTCAGAGGACCTGGGTTCAATTCCCATCACCCATACAGCTCACAGAAACCTGTAACTCCTGTTCCAGGGGGTCTGATATCCTCTTCAGACCTCCACAGGGCAGGCACTCACATGGTGAACAGTCGTACATGTGGGCAAAAATTCAGGCAATAAAATAAATGAAAAGAAAGAAAGCAGGAAGAGCAAACTAGTAAGTAGCACTTGTCCATTGTCCCTGCTTCAGCTTCTGCTTCCAGGGTCCTGCCTGGAGTTCCTGCCCTGCTTCCCTGCGTGATGGACTGCTGTAAGCTGTTAGGTGAAATACTGGCACACACCAAAGTTGTTTTTGGTATTGGTCTTTATTACAGCCATAGAAACCTAACTAAGACACTTGACATCTGGAATACTTTGCTTTTTTAAACTTTAATTAGGTTTATTTGAAGTGTGTTATGTGTGTGTGTGTTTGTATGTGCTGGTGTCTGTTGGATCCCTGAGTTTGAGGCCATCAGGCCATCCTGGTCTATTGTGTGAGTTAGGACAGGCATGTTGAAAAACCAGAGATGGAGAGGGAGGAAGGGAGAGAGGAAGGGAGAGAGAGAGAGAGAGATGGAAAGGGAGGGAGGGAGGGAGAGATCCTGTCTTGACTTCCTCTGGTGACACACTTCCTCCAACAAGGCCATACCTATTCCAGCAAAGCCATGCCTTCTAATAGTGCCATTCCTTATGAGCTTATGGGGGTCAGTTACATTCAGATTATCACAGTGATGCTGGAAAGGAAACCCATGGATTTATACATGCTAGATAAGACTCTACCAACTTATTTACATCCCAGTCCTTAAACTTTCTATATTTGCTAAGTTTAAATGATACACTTTTCCTGCCATTTATATTTATTTGTTACAGTGTTCTGCCTGCCTATATGCCTGCAGGCCAGAAGAGGGCACCAGATCTCATTGCAGATGGCTGTGAGCCACCATGTGGTTGCTGGGAATTGAACTCGAGACCTCTGGAGAAGCAGCCAGTGCTCTTAACCTCTGAGTCATCTCTCCAGCTTTTCCCTGTCATTAATATTTTTAAGGCTATTTCCTACTTATGTCTGTTCTATCTTCCTTCTCTTCTTTTCTCTTGCCCAACTTGCTATCTTTGCTCTCCCAACCCCATGACTCATGGTTAGTAATGGAACACAGTTCTCTGTCTTGACCAGTCAAATAAGCCAATGTGGGCAATATCAGGACACTCCCCAGGTCAAGAGTGGTAGCATTCCTGTAGTCCCAGTTGTGACAATAGATCATGAGTTGGATACCAACCTGGGCTATATAGTGAGGTCTTTTTTCAAAAAGGGATGGAGAGTACTGAAGAAATGGCTCCGTGGTGTAGAGCACATCTGCTCTTACTAAGAATTTGTGTTTGCTTCCCAGTTCCCATGTTGGGTGGTTCATAACCATGTGTATCTCCATGTTCAGAGAGATCAGATTCTCTGGCCTCCAGACACTGCACTTGTGAGCACATACCATGCACCACAACACACATAATTTTTAAAGTAAGCAGTTTGTTAAAATCTGGAAAGAAGGTGGTGGCTCTGTTACCATCCTTGCCCTATGCTGTTTGTGGTATACTTTGTAAGCTTGCCTGTCTCTGATCTTTAAACAAAGATGTCTCAATGTAGCTGAGATTCTTCAGAGTGAGGGGCTAAGAGGGAGCCCTGTGCTCCTTGTGGTTAAACTAGCATGATGTGTATGGGGCATTTCCTGAAGCCATGACATCCCACTTTGTCACTCTCCCCAGAGAAGACACCATTTATAGCAGGATGGAACAAGCTTTAACAAGAGTAACAATAACACTGGGAGAAGGGTATAGAAACTTCGGCTTCAATGGTGGAGCTGCCCATCTCTCTTCGGCTGGGCTACTTTTGTGGCGGATGCCAGTTGAACTAGCTTTTCACGTGGTACAGAAAGTGTCCTTGGTTCATATTAGAATTAAAACAGACTTTTTCTTTTTTTCATGTATCTAGGTGAAGATGGAGCTGGAAAAACAAGCTTAATAAGAAAAATTCAGGGAATAGAGGAGTACAAGAAGGGAAGAGGCCTGGAGTATTTGTACTTAAATGTGCACGATGAAGACAGGGATGGTGAGTGTGGCTTGTCTGTACCCTGGCCTTCTGCAGTCAACTCTGAGGGACCCTGCTGTTCTCCACTGCAGCTGGCTTCCCTCAATAGGAGGTCTGGGATGTCACTTGGGCCGGTGAATAGCGATGTAAATGATGTAAGGTTGGGTTTCAGGTTGTGTGGTTTTAAGCATTTTACAGTGTCTTCATGTGGGAAGTCAGCCCTCCAGTCAGCCCCTGCAGTCGCCCTCCAGTCAGCCCCTGCAGTCGCCCTCTGGTCAGCCCCTGCAGTACGCTGGTTGTTTTGTTTTGTCCGCCCTCTTTTCACCTTTCCCTCCTTTTCCTAGTGTGAGGACCCAGGCATTACGCTGGCCTGCCCCGTCACCTGGCAGGATGCACTCAGGCAGTGCTCTGGTCAGCCCAGGGTCCCATGAGTACCAGTCTGCAGGCAGGTGCAAAGGACCCCTTTAAAAGTCATATCCTGTCCACTTACGCTCTCTTTTGCTTCCCTTTTTCTCTCTCTCTCTCTTGCTTTCGGCTGGCCACCAGCTACTCCCTCTTTTTCTCCCCCCTCTCCTCTTCTGTTCCCGGTGCCTCTGTGTCTCTTCCCTTCCCCCTCGCTCCCCTTCTCTAAATAAACTCCTCATTGGAGCTCTGTCTGCCTGGCGTGTTATTCCCTCTCCCCTCAGTCACCCTCCCCTGCTGTGGAACCTGCCATGTTCTCCCACGTGGTCCCTTACCTTGGGGCCCTCACCACCACCCCTACTCCAGCTTTTATTCTTATAACTGTAACAAAAGAACAATACCTATAATAATGTAATTGTCTCCATAATTGTTTTCATTTTCTGAGCCCTTTTTTTTCTTCTTTAGGCCACTGTCCTTTTTGTGTGTGTAATTTCTTGAGTATGTGTAGTTCTATCTGCTGATGGTAAACTATGAACATGGTATTTAATGTCTTGGCCTTGATTAAGGAATAGGAGATAGAGAGGGGGTACTCTGTCCTATACTCACCTGTTACATACTTGTAGGCCTTCTGAATTGTCATACTTGACCCAAATAGTTGAACTTTACCAATGGTAGCAGGCACCTCTTGTGGATAATTAAATGGCTTAATAGTGCTGCTGAAAGAAATGGTCTGGATTCTTTTGTCTTTGTAGATCAAACAAGATGTAATGTGTGGATCTTGGATGGGGACCTGTATCACAAAGGGCTACTCAAGTTCTCTCTGGAGGCCCTTTCTCTGAAGGACACTCTGGTTATTCTGGTCGTTGATATGTCAAAGCCTTGGACTGCTTTGGACTCCTTACAGAAATGGGCAAGCGTGGTGAGAGAACACATTGACAAGCTGAAAATACCCCCTGAAGAGATGAAGGAAATGGAGCAGAAGTGTGAGTGGTCAAGAATAAGTAACATGGGCTTCCAATCGAGATATCTTAGCTGACTATAAAAATCATTCCAATTGTTTTTTCTCCAAACAAGATTCAGTGAAGGAAATAAGACTTTCATTCGAAATTCAACTTGAATGATGCACTGAGTTTTAATATTTAATATATATAATAGTAAATTCTTTGGCAGAAGTGTGTTTTATTCTTGCCAAATGGCTATGTATATTCATTTTGAAAGGTCATTTTTATGGGTAAAAATGTGAAGCTTTCTTCAGCTACTCACTTCCAATAGTTTTGTGACTAGTAGTCGTATCAACTTTGTCAATGTGAAAAGATGTTAACATAAATAAAAAGATGTTAAGTTGGTTTTGTTATTTATAGAGTACATTAGAAAGTGTGTGTTTTGCCTGTGGAGTCATTTCCCCTCCTCCCCCTACTTGTGCTAGGACCATTGCTCTCTGCTTCTGGTTCACACTTTTACGTGTGTTATGTTTGCATTTTTATGTTATATATATATATATGCTTGTTTGTTTTTGCTACAGTGTCTCCCTTTGTAGCCTAGGCTGGACTCAGACTTGAATTCTTTGTGCTTTTCTTCCCCAATGCTGAAGTCACAGGCATATTCCACTACACCTGTCTCAAAGATTTTAATCTGTGATTTTCTTTCATTGATGATCATTGCCTATGGAATCATGTCTCTCCCCAACCCCAAATCCATGCTTGTGCTTGAACCATGTTTGCTTCTAGTTCACACTATGTTGTGTTATGTTTGAGTTTGTGTGGACATGTGCATGTAGATCCCTTTAGTTTTAATTTTTTGTATATGTTGTAGGAATTGTGCATGTTTAAGTGTAGATCCTTACAGCCTCCAGGAAGTGCTTTGGTTCTCTTAGAGCTGGAGCTACAACAGTGTGAGCTGCCCTGGTGCTGGAAACCAAATTCAGCAAGAGAATGTGTGCTTTTAAATGCTGAGCCATCTTCCCAGCCTCTCCACCTTATGTTTTGAGACGGGGTTCTCTTGCTGAATCTGGAGCTCACATCTTGAGTTTGACTAGCTGACCAGTGAGCTGCAGACATTTGCTTGTCTCTGCATCCCCAGCTCTTGGACTACAAGTTATACCACTAGCTTTTATATGAGTGATGGAGATCTGAGCTCAGGCGCTCATGCTTACCCAACAAGTGCTTTCTTCAGTGTATTCGGTGTATTCTTCAGTTAGCACTGTTTGTTTATTCTGTTTTTAAGTTTATCTTTGTTTTATGTGTATGGGTGTTTTGCATTCATGTCTGTCTTTATGTCTGTCTGTGCCATGTGTGTAGAATGCCCATGGAGACCAGAACAGGGCATCGGCTGAGTTATAGATGCAGCTGAAATATAGATGACCGTCAGTCACCTTGTGAATGCTGGGAATTGAACCCAGGTCCTCTGGAAGAGTAGCCAGTGCTATTAACCCACTGAGCCATCTCTCCAGCCCCAGCACTATGCTTAAGTTGTAGATTCTTTTTCTTCCATAATTATTTTCCTCTAATTTCCTGCAGTATCCTTTCTTTAGAGAGGGCAGAGGGCCAAAGCTTCAGGGTGTGTGTGTGTGTGTGTGTGTGTGCGCGCGCGCGCGCGCGTGCGTGCGTGCGTGCGTGCGCGCGCGTGTGTGTACGTGTGCGCAATGCACACATGTGGAGAGTGTATGCAGGATACACACTAAACACAATAAATTCTATTTTCTTCTTGTGTGTGTGGATCCAGGTGCAACTGCACGTGGAGGTCAGAGAACAATTTGCAGGAGTTGGTTCTCTCCTTCCATTTCATGGGTCCCAGGTATCAGATCCAGTCATCAGGCTTGGCAGCAGGTACCTTTACCACTGAGCCATCTCTCTGGCCTCTAGAGTCGTATACACCTAACTGCACTGCACAGAGCCTGCATGGAGCCCCACTGTGTAGAGCTGCCAGTGTGGAATTGTGCTGTAAAACCAGTAACGTGGGCCCACTCTGTGTACATTTTTTTTTTTTTTTAAATATATAGCTCTTCTAAAGTCATTTCTTGTTCCTTCTCCTAAGTAAGATGCTATCTAAGGCCAGGAAAAGTAAACTTTGGTTGTGGCAGAAAGGAAAAGTAGACTTAGGTTGTGGCAGAAATAGTGGAGGCTCACACACTGCCATTTCTAAACCATGTTTACTTGGACTTGCAGTGATTAGAGACTTCCAAGAGTACGTGGAACCTGGAGAAGACTTCCCAGCTTCCCCACAGCGAAGAGCCACAGCCGCCCAGGAGGACCGAGATGACAGCATTGTCCTACCTCTGGGTGCAGACACACTCACACACAACCTGGGCCTCCCAGTGCTCGTAGTCTGCACAAAGGTTGGTTTGCTTCCTGGGGGCCTCACAGAGCCTGCAGCTGTTCTGTTTTAGGGCGTTGGTTTTCCTGGATGACTTTTTCCTTTTGAGACAGGGTCCCGTGTGTCCGTGGGCTGTGGTCAGATTCACTCTCCTCCCGTCCTGGTCTCTGGGTTATGGAACCACAAACATATACTACTGCGCTCATGAAGTGCTTGGGGTTGGAAACAGTTTCTTTGAAAGAAAATGGTATCTCCAATTGACTGCTTGTTGGACTTCGTTTCCATCGTTTCAGTTAGACCTCACTGTACTTTTAATTCGTTAGAAATTGTCATAGGTGAAATGATATTATTATAGTTCGTGTATTCTGTTTTATATGTATGGGTGTTTTGCTTACATGTATGTCTATGCACTATGCATGTAGTACCCTCATGGGCCAGAAGAGAGTGTCAGGTCTCCTGGGACTGGAATGTTAGATGATTGTGAGCTGTCATGTGGATACTGACACCTGGATCTTCTGGAAGAGCAGCCAGTGCTCTTACTTGCTTTACCTTTCTCCAGTCCTCAGTAGCTTATTACTTCTATATAAAATATCTTCCTGTTTTGTTCATCTGGGTTTTGTTTTGGTTTTGAGACAGGGAGCAACTGTAGCTCAGTGCGTGACCTTGGCTGTCCTGGCACTCTGCTTGCTCTGTGTCCAGTGCTGGGGTTAAAGGCGTGCACCACTCTATGCAGCTTAAAGTAAAATGCCTTCCAACACTGCCTTTTATTATACTATACTAACTTCTTTGTTGTTTTTGTCTTTTTCTTCGAGACAAGGTTTCTCTGTGTAGCCCTGACTGTCCTGGACCTTGCTCTGTAGACCAGGCTGGCTTCAAATTCACAAATCCATCTACCTCTGCCTCCTGAGTGCTGGGATTAAAGATGTGCACCACCTCCATCTGGCAACCGATGACTTTTACGTTCCCTGTATCACCTGTTATAGAATGTTGATATGCCAGTATTAAGAATTTGTTATTTGTGTATTTATTAAAAGGTGCTGACAGAATCATGTTTTCAGAAATCTGTTGGCTTACTGCCATATTCCTGGATCCCAGCTTTCAGGAAGGCAGAAGCTCATGAGTTCCAGATCAGCTTGTGCTACATAGCCAGACCTTACCTTGTACATACAAATGTTTCTGTTAACTTAGTTATTTTTACTGGATGTATTCTGTAATGAAAAGATATTTCTTTTGAAGCATAGCTTGTCTGTTAAGCCCATTTTCTGTTCACTTGGTCATAAGTAATGTGTGTTTACTATTTGTCCATTGTGGAGTGGTTGAGAAAGTGTCAGGATGTAAACTGTTCTGTTCCCTTCCGTCAAAACACAAGGTCTTGTATATTCTAGGTAAATGACCTTTGAACCCCACTCCCAGAATTAACATAACCCGAAAAGACTAAAATTATTCCTGCTCTTTATACTATGGAAAAGGTGCTTGTAATAAGAAGAAAGTGCAGAAATCTGTTCATCTTTGGGATAAAAATAATTAAAACTAAACCCAAAGACTAAACTAAGTCCCAAAGACCTGGCTTAAGTTTTATTTTAAATTTTACAAAAAATATTACCAGTAACTAAGGAATAAGGTGGAAGTATTTAAATGAGTTCAAGCCTGTTACTGCTTTTCTAGTTGTGATTTTGGTGTAATGCGTTGTTACATCTTTTCTGTAGAACATTATTTTATATACACTGGAATCTGTGTGTAGTTTATGTTTATTTGACAGCTGGTTATTTACAAATATGTCAGTGTTACAGAACTACAACTTAGTTCATAAAAACCATTTATGTTTTATATATTTGTGAGCTATTCTATAGTGACCAAGTGGAAGTCAGAGGACAATTTGTGGGCAGTGGCTCTCTCCTTCTACCATTTAGGACCTGGGATAGAAAGCCTGCTGTCTGTCAGGCCTACTGGCAAGTGTCACCTGCTGAGCCACATCACCAGCCTCTCCACTGTTCTTTAAGCTGATGTAGCGGAGTCTCATTTCCATCCCTTTACGGATACACACTCTTGGTGCTCTTATACTTTTTGTTTTGTTTTCTTCCCCCTTACACCTTTTTAGAGCGCATGCACTAATGTACACCTGATGGTGTCTTAAGGGTTTGTGAAATACAGTGTGCCACCACCCTGGCTCAGTTAACCTTTTGTAAGGAGTGAGAGGATGCAGGGAGCTGAATCCAGGGCCTCTGAGCCTCATCTCCAGCCCCAGATTTAGTTAAGTTAAAAGCTGTTCAGTAAACTGCCATACTTCACCAGTATGTCAGCAGCACAATAAAGTGTCTTTAATGATTTGGGATGTCACTCAGTAGTATATAAAATGGGCAAGCCAGTGTTTGTGATTACTTAGGAAGACTGTTCTGTAATGTATGTCTATGTAACAAATCTATATATAGACCCCAGACTAATGTTGCATATAATAATTAACAATATACAGTGTTTATTTTTTTATATTCTACGCTTTCAATTTGGAAGGGTTTCAGTGAAATTATTTGGATGTCATGGTGTTTGCCCGTGCCTCTCTGTATTGTCCTTCGTGTTTTTCTGTAGCAAGGAAGAGTAATAAGCCCTGTTGAGTGTGCAGGCGGTGTTTCATGGCCAGCCTCACTTTGTGTGTTGGGTCTGTAGCCGGGTGACCGAAGCGCCAGGAAAGAGGTGGGGCCATAGGTGGGAGGGAGAGCACCTCTGTGCTCCGCAGAGCTGAGGTAGGACTGGATGAGTTCGTCCATTTCAGGGGCTTGGTGGCCGAGGGGCAAGGGTGAGCACTGGACGGAAGTCTGGAGGTCTTCATTCTTTCATGTACTGAAAGTGCCTGGAGCACCCTGGCCCGATGGAGGCTAACACAGATGGGTGTCTCAGTTGATATCCCAAGTCCTGGTAGATGGCACCATAGTGTACTCTCATCAACAAATGAACTGTGTGGTTGTTTAAATTATCCTATGGGATTTCAGGGTTTAAAGTTACCCCAATGCCCTCTTATGACTGTTTATCTTCACAGTGTGATGCCATTAGCATATTGGAGAAAGAGCATGACTACAGAGATGAACACTTCGATTTTATCCAGTCACACATCCGCAAGTTCTGTTTACAGTGTATCCTTTCACAGTGGTCCCCCCCCCCCCCCCAGCTGAGCAGTTGTGATGACTGTAGAAAGTCTGTGAGTGTCACTCACCTGTCCCAGTTGCCCGGTCAGTCAATGTGGGTGTTCTGAGGTGCTAGGTTTGTGCTGAGCTCTCTGCTCTGTTGAAGACATGGGAGGTCGGCAGATATAAACGGGAGAAAACAGACTTGTTCAAGGCTGGCCTGAGCAGGTTTATTCTCAAGTCTGTCTTGGGAGAAGGGCACAGAGCTACAAAGGGCTTTTATGGGATACAAATGTGTTCAGCCAGAGAGTGAGCAGGAAATCCCCACATAGCTGGCTGCTTTTCTCTGGAGTTTTGGTGTGTGTGTGTGTTCTGAGGCAAACTGTGCAGCCTAGGCCACCCTAGAACCCAAGAGCCTCCTCTACACTCAACTCTGGGTGGGACCTTTTCAGAAAGGGCATCTCCCTGTGCAAACCATGTGGGTCAGCAAGTTACAGTTTTGTTTTGTAACAGACACATTGCTTTTTTTGAAGTCAGTTCATGTGAGCTGAAGAAAAGAGGGTCATTAAAGACGCCTCTTTTTATTTATAGTAGCACACTACAGGGATGGGTCATTAAAAAATTGGGGAAAAGGTGCACATCTTTAATCCCAGCACTTCGGATGCAGAGGCAGGAGGATCTCTGTGAGTTTGAGGCCAGCCTGGTCTACAGAGCGAGTTTCAGGGCAGGCTCCAAAGCTACAAAGAAACCCTGTCTTGAAAAACAAAACAAAAACAAAACAAAACCCCACAAAAAACTGGTGTGGGGTAAGATTGGGAAAGGGGCATAACCATGATTCTTCTTGCCTGCTCTGTTACACATGAAGGCAAGAATTGAAATATGCAATGTTAATTTACTATGTTTAAAGAATTGTGCTTAAGAGAACTAATTACCAGGTTGTGATGGTTTGAATGAGACTGTCCCTCATAGGCTCATGTATTGGAATGCTGGTTCCCAGTTGGTAGTGCTGTAGGAGGAGGTTAGATGGTGTGGCCTTGTTGGAGGAAGTGTGTCACTGCACGTGGGCTTGTGTAGAGGTGCAGCCTGCAACCCAAGCGCTTGGAGATTGCCACAGGAGGCTCTAAGTTCTAGACTAGTCTAGACTACAGAGTCTGAGTCTGTCTCTAACACCCTCTCTCTCTCTCTCTCTCTCTCTCTCTCTCTCTCACACACACACACACACACACACACTTACCTCCCCCCATACCCTCCTCCACACACTCACATACATCAACCAACCAACCAATGCTAGAGGAAAGTAAGCAAACCCTCAATGGAGCCTGGGAATCATAGCCTTTTATATTTACCTACAATTACATAAGATACCTATAAATATGTGCGGTAGACAGACAGATGGGTTTTAGAGTTAAAACTCACAGCCTTTTCCCTTTGTGTGTGGTGAAGGGTGTCAGCTCCTGGCATTCTGCTCCATGCCTGCTGCTTGCTGCCATGTCTCCCTGCCATGGCAGGCTCTTATCCCTCTGGAACTGTGAGCCAAATACACTCTTCCTTCTCTTAAGAAGCCTTGGTTCTGGTGTTTCCCACCAGAAAATTAACTAATAAACATATATGTGTAAAATATAATGTAACAGTATTGTCAATCTACCTGAAACCCTGTCTCAAAACCTAAAAAGCTGTATCCATTCATTCTTTCTGTCAGTCAGTCTGTCTGTCTGTCTATCTGTCTATCCTATCTGTCTATCTATCTGTCTATCTATCTTGGTTTTTTGAGACAGGGTTTCTCTATGTGGTTCTGGCTGTTCTGGAACTCATTCTGTAGACCAGAGTGGCCTTGAACTCAAAGAGTTCTTCCTGCCTCTGTCTCCCAAGTGCTGGAACTAAAGACATGTGCCATCAGCACACCCAGCTGTGTCCATTCAGCCTGTAGGTTTTTGTTACAAAGAGCCTAAGTTAGTGGTTTCAGGGTCAGGCTGTTTATCAAATCTTAGATTCTAAGACCTCTTAGTTTGGTGCATTCCAAGTTGAGAATGGAAAAATCTGCTTTTAAAACTTCCTGGGAGGGGGGTGCTGGAGAAATGGCTCAGAGGTAAGAGCACTGGCTGCTCTTCCAGAGGTCCTGAGTTCAGTTCCCAGCACCCACATGGCGGCTCACAGCCATCTCTAGTGTATGTCCTCTTCTGGCCTAAAGTTGTTCATGCAGACATAGCATTCATATACATAAAATAAATACATCTTTTAAAAATATATCTATATTACTATGTATACAGTGTTCTGTCTGCACATTGCTTGGATGCTAGAAGAGGGCACCAGATCCCGTTATGGACGGTTGGGGTAGGTGATCTCTGAGTCTGAGGTCCGTTGGTCTGCATTGTGAGTTCCAGGATAGCCAGAATTATGTAGAAAAACAAACACCCCAAAGTAAATAAAATTAATCTTAAAAAAACAAGCCCTTGTGGATTATTTTTATGATCACACATTTGGAAACATGTCAAATAGAGTCTTTCTAATTTAGGTAGCAAGGATTAGGCGAGTCAGTGAGTGACGTTTACCAACTGAAGAAAAAAATGAGGGTTCTAAGTAGAATTTTAAGAGAACTTACAGGGGAAAACTTAGGTCCTGCATGTGTCTTAGTTTACACATCATCTCCAGGTTGAATGTTTAAAGACCACGTAGGACAGCCTCGTGAATGAAATTTCTGGGCACGGCCGTTTCCTTCCCCTGTGCCCGTCCCTGCACACTTCTGTCCCTGTGTCCCTATGTTACCTCGTGGTTGAATTGTGCCGGGGAGGAGGGCACTTCTGTGTGCCGCATCTTCAAAAGAAAACAACAAAAAGAGCATAAGCGGGCAGTTTCAAGCACTTGTTGCTATGCAGAGTTGGTTTCCAGCACCTGTATCTGATGGCTCACAGCTACCTGCAGCACCCTCTGCTGGACTCCATAGACCTCTGCATTCATGCACACTTACCCATGATGCCATCCCATTCCCCTTAAGACAAGGGTCCAGGCTGCCTTCAAACTGGTGATCCTTCTGCCTCAGCTTCCTTGGTGCTGCCATGCTGCCATGCCCAGCATTTTCATGCACTTTAAATATGGTAGTGGTATTTACTTATACTTCTTCACCTAATGAAGCATCTGCCCTCCTAAAACTAAATTACATAAAATTTTCTATTTTCCTTGTAGCACATAAGTATTTTTTACTTTTGATTTTTTTTTTTTTTTTTTTTTTACAACCAACTCTCACATCACTGGGTTTAAAGTCTCTGTGTAGCTGAAGATGGCCTTGAACTTCTAATTCTCCTGCTTCTCCTTCCTGAGTGCTGGGAAATTCAGAAATTTATCTCATATTAGATACCTCCCTCCTAAGCCGCTGTGCATATATGTATGGGCATGTTCAGGTGAAAACATGGTCTGTGGTGTCTTCGTGGATCTCACACTTCTTTCCTTAATGAGAGGCCTAGACGGTGCAGCGCTTATTTACACGTCAGTGAAAGAGAACAAGAACATAGACTTAGTTTATAAATACATCGTCCAGAAGCTGTACGGGTTCCCCTACAAGATCCCCGTGGTGGTGGTGGAAAAGGATGCGGTGTTTATGTAAGTGTGTGCCAAGTGCAGTTTATCCTGTGCTGTCACTCAGGCTCTGTGTGCTGTGTTGAGATGGGACTCGGAGGCCTGGGTGGTGAATGGGTGGGGAGAGTTTGTTTATGACCTGCCTGGACCTGCATCTCATCGCCTCTCAGGCTTACTGCCTGCCTTGACTTTTGCAGGTTCTGTGCTGTTTTAGTTAGATTGTCTTCGAGGTGCTTTATTAGTGTGTCTGCTTATTCAGCTGTTACACTATATGATGACCAAGATGGAGTGTGGACTTTGTTTCACATTTTTCCCTGGATGGGTAGACTGCTTCCCTGCATGCATGAAGTCCTGTGTTTGGTCCCTGGGGCTGTAGCTCAGTGATAGAGCTCATCCCTTCACGCAGGAAGCACACGTTCAATCCTTAGTGCTGTGCTCCCCCAGATCGTTCCATGGGTTAAGTGGAAAAAATGATGGTGTAAATGCTTGATAGTTTTATGTGCATTTCTCTCCAGTCCAGCAGGGTGGGATAATGATAAGAAAATAGGAATATTACATGAAAATTTTCAAACTTTGAAAATAGAAGATAATTTTGAAGACATCATAACCAAACCTCCTGTCCGAAAGGTAAGTTTTAGAAATATTCTATCCAGACCTAAGCTGAGAGTTAATCTGAACCCTGACATATTAGAGTCCTGAAGAAGATGGTGTCCTTAGCTGTCATGATAGATGCTGAGTTTGCTTCACACATGCATCTGTCCCAGCAAATGTCAGCTGACTACATTAGTCCTTCTGCCTTGATATTTGAAGACACTAGCACTGAATAGGTTTCTAACATACCGTGGAAGCCACGTGAGTGGACGTGTGTCTCTTGAGCACTTAGAGTACATGAAGACTGTGGAGTTTTGAGGCTACAGCTCTTCCCGGAGCCAAGACAACAACACTACAGTGGTTTCTTCCACTCTACCCTTGAGGCATGTCTTGTATCTAGACCATATTCACTGATATCCTGTATTGGCTCATAGCTATCTGAAACTTCTCATTTTGTTTTAGTCCTGGCTAAGGTTTTACTTTAGGACTGTTAAATCATGTTCCAGAAGGTACTTTTCTTATGTGTACATCATGACTTTGTATTTAGCTGTACATACATAATATTGAGTAGTTAAGTACAGACCTAGATGTCTCTGGAAATAACATAAAATGAATATTTACATGTAATCGTCCTTAAAGATTTAACACAGCATTTTAGGAAAAATAATATTGATGGAATATATATTATAAACCGTATTTGAAGTATTCACAGTGTGCATCTGTCTTCTGTGTGTGGGTTGTTGAGTTGTGAGAAAAGCAAGCTCCAGTGAAAAATGAATCAACATGTTAATTTGGTTTGGATAGCTATTAAAAGAAATGGATAAAAAAGAAAGCCATACAAAAATGTTCCCGTTTTTATTTGTGTATGGGCATGTCTGTGGGTGTGGGTGTATGTATGGAGGAGCATGGTTGCCCATAGACAGACATCAGGAGAGGGCATTGTATCCCCTGCAGCTGAGTTACAGTGAGTTGTGAGCTGTCCATCGTTGGAGTTAGAAACCTAACCCAGGTCCTCTGCAGGATCAGTACACACTCTTAACTGTGAGTCATCTCCCCCACACCCCGCTTCTTGGCCAACGTGATTCAGCTTATGGTGTCCTTCATTCATTGCACCCAGGCACGCACATACAATAATGATGGGACATATAGCTGGGCCTGGTGGTACACACCTGTAATCCCAGCTCGTTGGAAACAGGTCTGGGAGGATTGGCGCAAGTGTGAGACCACCCTGATGTACATAATGAGTCCCAAGCCATCGAGGACTGCAGAGTGAGACCCTCTCAAAACAGCAGCACGAGCTCTAATGCATGGCTCATCTATCAAGTGATGGTGGGAACTGTGTGCTGAGGGACTAAGAAGACGGCCTGAGGGGCTGTTGTAGAAGTGGCCACTCTGACAGGGAGACTGTTAGAGCTGGGACACAGAGTGGTGGCCACTGTTCCTCTGCAGTTTCTCAGTATAAAGCTAACAAAATTACACAACCGCATTAGGCCGTCCCTTAAGCAAGGAGAGGTAACGTTAAAGCTCTTGAACTGTCTTTCAGTGAGCCTAAGCCAGGAAGTTATTGGTGTGTTAGCAAAAAGTATTCCACTCACTCATTTCATCCGACTTCTTTCAGTTTGTGCACGAGAAGGAGATCATGGCAGAAGATGACCAAGTGTTTCTCATGAAGTTACAGGTATGAAGTCACTTTAGAGGTGGCCTGGGTATAATTAATTATACAAAGGTGTTTTCCGTTGCCTTTGAGCCCTGTGAATATCTGTATAACTATCTTATATTTACATTTTATTACATTGTTTGTTTATTTAGTGTGTGTGAGGTGGGGTAAGGTGCACATGCATGCCACTGCTCCTGTGTTGTTACAGAACAATTTTGGGGGTTGGTCCTCCCGGAAATTGAATTCAGTTCATCAGGCTAGATGGCAAATGTCTGCCCTTTTAACCATCATGCTAGAGATTGCTTTTCTTTTCTTTCCTTTTCTTTCTTTCTTTTTTTTTTTTTTTAATTTTTAGTTTTGCAAGACAGGATTTTTCTGTGTAGCCCTGGCTATCCTGGAACTAACTTACTCTGTAGACCAAGCTAGCCTTGAACTTAACAAAAATTTCCCTCCCAAGTGCTGGGGTTAAAGGCATGTAGTACCATCACCCCGGCTGGTTTTAACTTTTTTAAAAAATTAAATTATTTTAATTAAAAAAGTATTTTCCATATATGAATGTTTGGCTTGCATGGATATGTGTACCAAGTGTATGCCTGATGCCCAAAGAGCTCAGAAGAGAGCTGTAGGATCTCCTAAGACTGGATTTTGGATGGTTGTGAGCTACCATATGGAGCTGGGAATTGAACCCGGGTCCTCTGGAAGAGCAGCCAGTACTCCTAGCAGCTGAGCCATCCTTCCAGCCTCTCATTTACTTACTTATTTATGGATTGGTTGGTTGGTTGGTTGGTTGGTTGGTTGGTTGGTTGGTTGGCAGGCATTTTGAGGCAGGAGTTCTCTGTGTAGCTCTCACTGTCCTGGGACTTGCTTTGTAGACCAGGCTATCCTTGAATTCACAGAGCTCAACCTGCCTCTGCCTCCTAAGTGCTGGGATTAAAGGCTGGTACTACCACCACCTGGCTTACTTAGTTATTTTTGACACAGTGTCTCACTGTGTAGCCCCAGCTGGCCTGGAACTCACAAGCATCCACATGCCTCGTCCTCTTGAGTGCTGAAAGTGCCTGGCCCATGGTTATTTTTAAGGTTAATGTGCTTACAGATGTAAAAGTTAAGCCGTGGCCAGGTGCTGGTGGTGTAAGCCTTTAATCCCAGCATTTAAGAGGCAGAGGCAGGCAAATCTCTGAGTTTGAAGCCAGCCTGGTCTACATAGTGACTTCCAGGACAGCCAGGGCTATACAGAGAAACACTGTCTTTAAAAAATGAAAAACTGTATATTTTCTTTAAAAAGACAGTATTCTATGAATGTCTAAATTAGAATTCTTTTTTCCTCCAGTCCCTTTTAGCAAAGCAACCACCAACTGCAGCTGGAAGACCTGTGGTCAGTATAACAGATTTTGACAAAACTATTTATGTTCAACACATGTTGTTATAGCTCTCTTAAGGTACACACACACACACACACACACACACACACACACACACACACACACACACACGCTTCAGTATAAGCTTCAGTTGACAATTCTTCTGTACTCCTTTTTAGAACAATGAAATATAAAGGTCTCTTCGGTGCTGATTTTATACCTGTGTGTCACTACACAAGCTGTGTGTGTGCTTTTACAAACCTTCAGAGCAGTCTTACACAGGAGTCCTTTTACTTAATAGTTCCGTGTTGTAGACGGGTAAGGGGGCCTAGAGAGGATCATGACATGCCTGATCATACAGCTGGGAATCAGCTTTGTCCGTCAAGCTTGTGCTCAAAGCTACACACACTTCCTTATCCAGTACTTTGCTCCTTGCCACTAGTGTAGTCATTGGTACCCTAAAATGTGCCAGGTCTGTGTCGTTCCCTAATAATGAGGATGGGATTGTTAGCTTTTTATCAATGAGTGGTAGTGTAAAAGCTAGCAGAACAGGTGGGGATAGTAACAGAATGCTTTTTTCTTAATTGTGAAGGTTTTAATTTTTAATATTTCTGCTTTTTTTTTTTTTTTTTTTTTTAACCTAGGATGCATCTCCAAGAGTCCCTGGAGGCTCCCCTCGAACACCAAACAGATCTGTGTCATCCAATGTTGCCAGTGTGTCTCCCATCCCTGCAGGGTCAAAAAAAATTGATCCAAACATGAAAGGTATAGCAGTATGTTTTATAATGAATCTACTGAAATGTTTTCCTTTTCTGCTCCATATTCCCTAAGCTTTTTGTTGTAGATGGGCGCTCATAATCAGGTTGCACACACCACGGTGTCTTCTCAGTGCATCACTGTGCTAATGGTAAAGCTTTAATTATTCTCCTGTGGAAGACTGCTGGAGAAATTAATGTTGGTAATTAATAAGTAACCTAGGTTTACCTATTAAATGGTTTAGCTGGTAAAGGCACTTGCCACCAAGCCTGACAACCTGAGTTCAGTCCCTAGAGCTACCCAATTGGTAGAAGGAGAGAACTACTCCTTCAGGTTGTCCTGTAACCTGCACACACACACAGACACACACACACACACACACACACACACACACACACACACACACACACACACACACAGAGACACACACAGTTGAAGTGAAAAAGGGTTATGAAGCTCTTTTAAAAGGTAGAGGTAGCTGGCAGTGGTGGCACACAGCTTTAATTTCAGCACCTAGGATGCAGAGCAGGTTGATCTCTGAGTTCAAGGCCAGCTTGGCTTACAGAGTGAGTTCCAGGACAGCTGTCATAGAGAAACCCTGTCTTGAGAAATGAATGAATGAATGAATAAGTAACTAAAACTTTAAAAAGTGTGTGTGTGTGTGAGAGAGGTATATTAGCATCTAACATGTATGTTTAAAATACTTTTGGCCCAAGGCTGCCTAGACGTCTGGCTCAGTGGTTTAGAGCACTGGCTGCTTTTGCAGACCACCTGGGTTCAGTTCCCAGAACCTACATGGCAGCTCATCCATATGTAACTGCAGGTCTAGGGGAGTGCCTCTTCTGGTCTCTGTGTAGCTCACATGCATACATACACACAGAATAATATAAATAAGATAAATAATACCTTTGGCCTTTTAGAATACTACTTTATGGCTGGCAAAATGGCTTAGCAAGTCAAGTGCTTGCGGAGCCCCCAGACTACTTGCTGGAGTTGGTCCTCTGCTTCACACGTACATGCTCTGTGCCTATGCTCAGGCTCGTGCAGTGTGGTGCCACACCCACTACCACCCACACGCTCACCCAGGGCAGACACACAATAATAATGAATGAATGAAGAAGAAACATCTATCCCTGTGATTGCTCTGTGTGTGAGTAGACAGAAGTAGAAATAGTCTTCGTTCTAAAATACTTCTCGTTTGTTTGTTTTAAAGCTGGAGCAACGAGCGAAGGTGTCCTGGCAAACTTCTTCAACAGCCTGTTGAGTAAGAAGACTGGGTCCCCTGGAGGCCCCGGAGTCGGGGGCAGTCCTGGAGGAGGGGCTGCAGGGGGAAGCAGCGGCTTGCCACCCTCCGCCAAAAAGTCAGGTAGAGCCTCCTGAGCAGGGGGTACAGTCTTCCTGGGTGTGATGTAAGATGAAGTCACATGTGGCTTTAGACGCTGTCACAGAATCTAGTTACAGCTCACGTTTCTCTCAAAAGAAAGTCAAACTTTCCATGCCTTCCAGTGTCTTGGCCTCTGGTCTCCTTCTCTGGGGCCTGCCTAGCTGGCCTTCACACAGCTGCAGTCTTAGCTGTGTTCAAGCTCCCTTTCCATGGAGCTGTAACACATCCTTGTGTGGGTAAGCCACACTTTATTTGACTATTCACTTCCTTCCTTCCTTTCTTCCTTCCTTCCTTCCTTCCTTCCCTCTTCCCTTCCTTCCTTCCTTCCTTCTTCCCTTCCTTCCTTCCCTCTTCCCTTCCTCCCTCCTTCTTTCCTTCTCTTTCTTTCTCTCTGTTTCTCTCTCTCTTGGCCATTTTGAATAATGCTGCTAAGAGTGTTAACTTTTATGTGAACTTAGGTTTTTAATAAGTTGGGGCAATATTTGAGATCGGAGTTCTGGGTCATGTCATGATTATTAAATTTGTGTGGGGAGAGGTCAGAAGACAACTTTGTGGCTTCAGTTTTCTTCCACCACGTGCGTCTCAGGGATTAAACTCAGGTCATCAGGCTTGGTGGCAAGTGCCTTTACCTGCTCAGCCATCTCACCAACCCTTACATTCAAAGATAGGAGACTGGCTGGAGTTTCAGAGGGTTGGACTGTGTTACCCTCAGCAGGCTAGGAGTGCTCTGGGGTCTCTGTCATCTATACCGACTGCTCCTTTGGAGGCAGCTCTCACTCCCTGTCTAGATGTTCAGCTCGGCTGTTTGCTGATTACTCACTGCCCCGTGCCCTAAAATAGAAATGACAAAACCCACAGATGAGGCTAAATGATAGGTACCAGTGCAGTGCCTCTCAGTTTAAAATGAGGAGCTGTATTTTTAAGGATGTTTATGTAACTTAGTAGACTACATAAAGTTTTTTATTGTTTTTCTTTTTTTGAAATGTGTCCTGAAACTTACTATGTAGCTCAGATTAGACATAATCTTATGGCAGTCTACCTTTCTCAGCCTCCTGCATGCTGCGATTATAGGCGTTGACCACTCCACCTGGCTATTATTTTCACTTGCCACCTTCACCCCCAATGCAGAGCCTTGCTGTGTAGTAGCTTATTCAGCAGTCTTCTGCCTTAGCCACCATGGGCTGCTTTAGTAGGCAGTGTAAAGTCAGTGAAAGCATGGTGGGTTTCAAGTTGAAGACTATGTCTAACACTTGTTATTTCTCTTTGAAACACACTGTAGGCCAGAAGCCTGTGCTCTCAGATGTTCATGCAGAGCTAGACAGAATCACACGGAAGCCTGCTTCCGTTTCTCCTACAACACCCACATCTCCCACGGAAGGAGAAGCCTCCTGAAGACACCAAACAAAGCCATTTGTTCATTCTCCTGGGTAACGTCAGCTTGCCTCTGCCTTTTCCTTCCAAGTGGAAGTTAGGGGCCTGGAAGCTTTTACAGACAGACTTTTTTTTTTTTTTTTTTTTTTTGGTGACTGCCCATTTTTAAAAGAGGAGCTACACAGAAGAAAGACAAAAGACAATTTTACATTATGTAGAATAACTGTTTGCACTGCTGTTCTGCATAAGGAAGTAATTTTGGACTTTGAAAAAAAAATATCAGACTGTGTAAGACTGCAATAGAGCCAGGTGACCCTGTTCTCCAGGCTGTATAAGCTGCATAGGAGTATTTAGGGACGTGCAGAAAAATATGTGATTTGGGCAGTTGATTAACTCAGAAGTCTAAATTGTTTTAGGTAAGACTATTGCAATCATTGTTAAAGATGCCTACTTTTTTTCGGAAGAACGCTGATCAGTTGTCAGATCTCACACCAGGAGCAGTTAGTCCACCTGAGGCCCACTCCATGATGGTGTAAGTTACGACTAAAAGGCTTAGAGCCGTTGGCCAAGATGCTCCTGTGGTCAAGAAAGCAAACACATCACCTGAGTGTGAGAGGTGCAGAGGTTATGAACATGTAAAGAGAGAACCGGCTTTGCAGGTGTCCATACATATATATATGGCTCTGCCTTAATATACTCCTTTTTTGTTCGTGACTTTCAACTGTAATCAGTTAATAAAGTATTTATTCTCTGCATTCAGGGTCAAATAATGTGTTGCCTTTTCTTATATTTGAGTTTGATTTGTCAGCTAAGGAATGAAATTTGTTAGTAATTTGAAATGATTGACTTAAAAAGATTACTAAGCATTCTGATCTTTCTCAGAGGCAAATGAACAGGTGAAATTCACTCATGAGTTTTATTTGGGAGTTCTTAATCAGTACCTTCTCCCATAGGTGGGTGGAATTACAGGTTTTTTTTTTTTTTATTCACTATGTAGTCTAAATTTTTTCCTACCTCCTTTGTTTTGTGTGTGTGTGTGTGTGGGAATGTCTGAGACAGACTCATGTAGCTCAGGCTGGCCTTGAACTCCTGATCCTTCTGTCTCTACGTCCCCAGTGTTGGGATTGTGGATATGCACCACTGTGCCTTTTTTTCCTGTGGCACCAAAGATTGAATATGGGGCTTTGGGCATGATAGGCAAGCCCTCTACCCATTGAGCCATGCCCCAGCCAAGATGGTGTCTTTTTTCTTTTCTTCCCCAGAGACAGGGTTTCTCTGTGAAACAACTCTGGCTTTTCTGGAACTTGTTTTGTAGATGAGGCTGGCCTTGAACTCACAGAGATCCACTTGCCTGTGCCCCCTGAGTGCTGAGATTAAAGGTGGGTGCTACCACTGCCAAACCAGGACAATTTCTTATACCAACATTGCTATGAATAAAAATAGAACCTTAAAGAACCAAAACTTTGTGTGTGTTTATGTCTAGGCATTCACGTGCCCTGGTGCATGTATGCATTTAGAGGTCAGAGGACAGCTTTTATAGTTGGTTTTGTCCTTCGGCTGTGTGTGTCCTGGCAATGAGGCTTTGGTGTCAGGTTGGCAGTAAGTGCCTTTACCCAGTGATCTATCTCACCAGCCCTGTAGACTCTTAGTTAATGGGTGTAGTTGGGATTTTCTTGTTTTGGTATTTTGGTATTTTATTCTTTGAGAGTATATGTACACATATATACAGTGTATTTTGATCATATTCCCTTCTAACTCTGCTGACCCTCCTCCAACATATCCCCTTCCCAGCACGTGTCTTACATTTTTTAATAGCCCACTGAGTTCAGTTAAACACGTGGGCTTGGGGCTACCCAGTGAGCAGCATGGGCAGCCTACTACTAGCAGCCACATCCCTCAAAGAAAAATGAGTCTTCTTCCCACAGCAGTGCTATCAGCCAGACTGCTTAGCTAAGGTCCTTGTGAGGCCCTCTCCCATCTGTGCTGAGATGTTGGCTGATGGCCTTGTGCAGGTGCTGCTGCTGGGAATTGAAGTGTGGCAGCCATGTCATATCTAGAAGACAGCCAGTGTTTACATTATCTGTGTTCCCTCTTTGGTGATCTTCTCTGAGCTTGAGGAGCAGGTGTTGATGTAGCTGTCCCGTCAGGGCTGAAGACTCAGCAGTCACTCTTACCCTTTGATAAGGCGCAAGCGAGTCTCAGAATTAACCATTCCTCACTGCAGACTGAACCTTCTCTGACCAAGGATGAAAGCAGCACAAATCTGCAGCCATAAACATAGGTACGTTGGACAACACGACTCTCTCGCAGAACCATGTGGGTCCCCTCTAAAGCATGATTTCCATGACCAAGAGCTCTTGGCCAGCGTTACAGAATCAGGCTTGGACATCCTCTTGTGGAGTAGGGCCTCAAAAGTCAATCAAAAAGTGGTTGGTTATTCCCTTAACAGTCATACCACTGTTGCTGGCACATCTTGCCTAACATTGAAACCATATCCTACTATGTAGCTCAGCCTGGCCTAGAGTTTGGCATTGTCCTGCCTATGACTTCCAAATGCTCGGATTTCAGACATTCGCCTTCCTGCTCCCACCCAAATTAGAAGCTATTCTTAAACTTGGCGATTGCACTAGAGTAGTGAGTAGGTATAAACAAGTGTGACCAGTTCTGCCTGTTTTAGGATGCCCTTAATAAGGTGGTGTTGTTACTAAAACTCAGCTGAGAAAAGACATCCACATTTGACCTATTAGTCATTTCAGATGGACTTGTCTTTATTGTTATGATTTAAATCTGAAATATCCCCTTAGGCTCATTATTTAAATACTTGCTCTTCCTGGTGGTACTATGGGGGGGGGGCAGGGGTGCTATTGATTCTTTAGAAGGTGATTCCTATTTAGATGAAGGTCATTGGAGATGTACCTGTGTAGGCCTTGTCCCCAGGCTCCTCTCTTGCCTCTTTGTCTACCGTGAATTGATCATTTTTCCGTACTTTGCATTGCCTGCCACAATGTTCTGTCTCACCATGCATAAGTCCAGTAGCAAAGAAGCCAAAGGACAAGTGACATGTGCTTAAAAAAAAAAACAAAAAAAACTCACGCTATGGGGTCAACAAGATGGCTCAACAAGTAAAGGTGCTTGCCTCCAAGCCTGAGACCAGAGTTTAATCCCTGAGGTCCATATAGTAGAGGGAGAAAACAGACATTCACAAGTTCTTCTCTGATCTCCACACATGATCTGTAGTATGTGTACCCCTCTGTAGGATATGTAATTTAAAAATTACAAAAAGATAAATGCTTATGCTCTTTTCAAAGATATTTTGTCATAGCAGCTTTTTCCTGCTTTATATACTCATTGCTGTCCTAGAACTCACTAAGTGGCACAGGCTATCCTTAGGTCCTTCTCCAGTGCTAGGGTAGCCACCATATCCCAAAGACTTTTTCCAAATAAATATTTGAATATAAAATCTACACTGGTGGTGGAGGTGGCGCATGCCTTTATCCCAGCACTCGGTAGGCAGAGGCCAGCCTGGCCTACAGGGTTAGTTCCAGGACAGCCAGAGCTGTTACACAGAGAATCCCTGTCTGAAAGCAAAACAAAATAAAAAAATCTTGCCTCATGCAAAAGAAAGAAAAACTTCTTTAAAATCTGTGTAATTTTTACTTGCTGCTTGACACCCTATAATTTAATATAAAGATACATAAATATACAATAGAATAATAATTTGTTTTCTACTTGGGGAAAATTTTCTGAGTATAGGAAAATAATTCAAAAAAAATTTTTTTTTATTTGATCTAAAGGAAAAAAGCTGAGCCAGCATTGGTGCACACAGCTTAGATGCCAGCGCTTGGGAGGCAGAGGCAGGCAGATCTCTGTGAATTTGAGGCCAGCCTGGTCTAAAACAACACAGAGAAACCCTGTCTCAAAGTCAAAAGAAAAGAAAGGAAAAGAAAAAAGGTGTTAAGACAAGATATGGTACACATCCATACTCTCAGCTCCTGGGGAGACTCAGGCAGAGGATGGAATGTTTAAGGCCTGTCTAGGCAATTTAGTGATATTCCTCTTAAAGTAAATGGGCTGGCTGGGATGTTTAGGTCAGTGAGAACATGTGTGGCATACAGATTAAATACTCATTATTGCGCTGAAGTGGGAGTCATTGATGAAATCTAGACCAAAAAGGATCCCGTAATTTTATCAGTACAGGAGTTTCTATTTTTATTATTATTGTGAGGGCAGGTATGTGAGGGGGACAGCATGTGTGGAGGCCAGAGGACAGCATTCAGGATTTGGTTCTCTTGTGCTGAAGGATCTGGGAATCAAACTCAAGTGGTTAGATTGCCTTGGCAAATGCCTTTATCTGTAGAGCTGTCTCCTTGGCCCTGGAATTTTGCTTTAAAACTGGGTTGTTTGTGACTTTGGGTCCAGCCTGTTGGATCCAGCCTGTTCTGTACAACTTGCTAGGAGCAAAGAATGACCATGAACTCTTGACCCTCCTGCCTCTGCCTCCCAAGTGCACAGGTTTACAGACATGTGCCACCACACTCAGCTAACTTCATTCTTTTTTTCAGCAGATTGTTGAAGTGTGCAAATACAGAAAAGTGTATGTCACAATTAAAGATTTGAAATAACACAGAATGACCATATATAACCAGCCCCGAGATAAGAGAACACTCCAAGCATCAAAGCTTCTAATGCACTTCTCAGCCCACATGCATGTGCTCACACCAATGAACACACATTTCTGAATCTGTCTCTTTTCTATTAGAGAAACACAAGAAAGGTGTCTGGAGAGAACCGTCAGTGTTTATGAGGGTCTACTGTTTTTACAGAGGACCTCAGTCTGGTTCCCAGCACCCATATTGGTCAGTTCACAACCACCTATAACTCCAGTTCCAGAGACCTGATGCCCTCTCCTGGCTCCTGTGGGTACCTGCATGCACACAGTTCACATAACACACATACATGCACAAATAACAAAGCAATACAAAGAAGATAACCAGCAACTAACAAATTTTGCCATCTGTGGGAGAGGGCTGGGCAGGCAGGAATGCAGCAGAAGGGATTTGGATTCACATTATTCATAGCCGGAGAGAAGCTTCCTTTTGTGGGGGCTTGTGTGTGTCAGACAGGGTCTCGTGAAAACCAGGCTGGCCCTAAACAAGAGATCTGCCTGTCTCTGCCTCCTGACAGCTAGGGGTAAAGGTGTGCACTCTTACCTGGCCAGCCAGGGCTTTGGGTTTCCTGTTTAGAAATGGTTTCATGCAGCCCACGCTGGCCTGCAACTCACTGTGGAGCTGAGGGTGGGTGACTCTGAACTTGCGATTCTCCTGCTTCCCCCCAGCGAAGCGTGCTGGGATTACAGGTGTATACCACACCTGGCCTTGCTCTTCCACCTGGTATAAGAGTGGTTTGCAGTAGGATGCATATGTGTGGTGTGTGTGAATGAATGTTCCTGCGTGCGAGTGTAGGTGTGCGTTCATGTAGAGGTCAGAGTGCATTAGCATCAGGCATTCCCCTCCACATTGTTTGAGACAGGGTTATCCTGCCCACTGCTTTAGCTGGCCCCTGAGTGTATGGCTGCCTGTCTTCACCTCCCACCTTCCCGTAGCAGTAGGTAGGGAACTCAGATACAAGCACTGCTGGATCTTCCCAGCTTGTGTGTGGGTGCTGGGGATCTGAACTCACCTGGTCAGGTTTGTGTAACAGGAGCCATCCTCTGGCCCTTGTTTTCACTTTTATTTTATTTGTTATTCTTTTGGGTTTTTGAGACAGTGTTTCTCTGTGTAACAGCCCTGTCTGTCCTGAGACTTGCTAGACCCATGCTGGCCTCAGACTCACAAAGATCCACCAGTCCCTGCCTCTTAGGGCTGGCGGAGATTAAAGGCACGCCACCACACCTGGCTGTTTTCACCTTTAATGTTTTCAAGACCTGAATTTTTTTTTTCTTATTCATTTATTTATTTTTAATGCTCATGGGTGTTTAACCTGCATGTATCTGTGCACCACTGTGTGCCCCCCCAGGAGGGCATCAGACCCCCAGAACTGGACTTACCAATGTGAACCACCATGTGGCTACTGTGGTGAGAACTTGGACCCGCTGGGAAGAAGAGACGGTGCTCTTAACCGTTGAACCTTCTTTCTCCCCCTAAGATCTGAAATGCAATCAGTAGGGAAAGAAAGGAGACAAGTAAACAAACCACCCTAAGATGGATTTCTAGCTACCTGGGGTGGCAATTTGTTTGAAACACTGCCCAAGCTCTCTCCAATAGACTCCAGACTGGATCCCACCCTCGCCATCCCCAGGTTAACTAGAAGCTTACAACCCCCTCCCCACTCCAAAGTAATCAAAACTGCTTTGTCCCAAAGTTCTCAAGAGGAGGCTGACCCCTCAGCCTTTTCTTTCCCAAACAGCGCCCTGGGCTTCAGCTGCAGGTGACAAACACAGCCCCATGGCCTCCTTAGCATTCCTTTGCCTTTTGTTGCCCTCTGCTGGTGGAAATGGAACATGCAGATTGGGAATGCAGCTCCAGCTAAGCTAGATTCCGATGTCTGATCCGTTTAGACTGCTCCTTCTTCCATTCTGTGGAGTTCAACCTCAGACCCCTCCTTTGCCTTAACTAACACTGTTTCTTGTGTTCTTCCCCAACTCCTTTAAACGGTTATGTATGTATTGCCTGGCTGCTCGTTGGTTTATCTCACACTCTGAAGTGTAAACCTGAGGGGTTCCCCATAGGTGGGCTCTCCTTCAACACAAACACGGTGGTGCTCAGAGATACCTTTCCCCGCCCCCCATTTATGAAGGGACCCTTTCGTCTGCAGGTGTGTGTTCTTCACTGTGTCACAAGTACAGGGGCTCTGTAAACCCATCAGGAATTTAAAACGTCCAGCTTTTAAAACAAAAATTCATTCTTATTGGTGTGAGTGTGTACGCATAACACACTGTACACATGCAGGGCTATAGTGAGACCTTTTCATCAGGCTCTCCAATGATGACAAGGAGACTCATTTTTAATATGAAAGCTTGGCGGATAACCTAAGCTTGTTTCTAACTAGCTCTTATAATTTAAATTCACCCATTTCTTTTACTTTACTTTGCCTCGTGGCTTTATTATCTCATCTCCATAGTGCCCATCCTACTTGCTCTGCATCTCCTGGCATGGCCACCTTCTTCCCAGCATCCTCTCTGCCCGGAAACCCTGCCTAGCGTTTGGATATTCAGATTTTAATTTTTTTTTTTTATTTTTGTTTTTTGAGACAGGGTTTCTCCGTGTAGCTTTGGAGCCTGTTCTGCAACTAGCTCTTGTAGAGCAGGCTGGCCTTGAACTCACAGGAATCCTCCTGCCTCAGTCTCCAGAGTTCTGGGATTAAAGGCTTGCGCCACCACCGCACAGCAAATACAACTTCACAAAGTGTACACAAATGCCACAACAGTGGGAGGTGAGAAATAAAACTCCCTGGGAGGAGGTCGGGGGTGCAGCTCAACGTGGGTGTGTGGGTTTTAGCATGCCAAAGGAAGGCTCTGAATCCCATCCCTAGCACCTTTTAAAAACAAAACAGGTTGAGCAGGGCGGGGTGCAAGTCTGTGATCCCAGCACTTCAGAGAGCAAGGATGGAGGATTTGCACTAGTTCCAGATGCTACACCTGAGTTCTAGGTTCGTCTGGGCGGGTGAGATCTTGAGAGAGAGGGAGAGAGACTCAGACCGAAACTAAACTAAAAGTCCGGGCAGGGAGGTGGCTCAGTGGGTGAAGACAGCAGCCGCCACTCCTAAAGATGATTCAGTCCTCAGGACCCGCAGGAAGTCACGAGAACTGACTCCCTGGATAGTCTTCTGACCCCTCCACGGTGCCCCTCCCTAGATAGGTAGATTAAAAAATAAATGTAATTAAAAAAAAAAAGCCACCCCCAAACCAAAAGAACAAAACAGAAGTCCGCAGAAATCAATTCAAGAGCTGGGGCGAGCCGGAAAGGTGGAGGGGGCGTGGCGAACACGGGGTGCCGCGAAGCCAGGGGGCGTGGCTAGGGCGGGGCGGCGGCACGATGCGAGGGGCGTGGCAAACGGAGGGACTTTCTCCCAGCTGGGGCGTGGCGAGCGGGCGGGCGTGGCGAGGGCGTGGCGAGGGCGGAGTTGGCCGGAAGCGGGGGCGGGGCCCCAGGAAGTGACGCCCCCCGCTGCGCCGCCGAGGCTCTCGCTGGGCGGGCGACCTTTGGCGGGCCATGGACAACGGAGCGGTGTACGGTCCCACCACCGAGGCGGCCCCGGGCGCCGGCAGGGGCGCGCGCAGCGGCCTGGCCGCCTTCTTCTCCCTGGGCCGGCTGCCCTGGTCCCGGCGCGTCCTCAAAGTCTTGCAGCTGGTGGGTGAGGCCAACGGCGGCGGGGGCCGGGCCGGGACCCGTGGGCTGGGGAGGCTGGAGCTCGGCCTCCTCGGTCGGGAAGCAGCCCTTTCCACACCCCAGTTCCTTCCCTTCCACTGGGGAAGGGGGCGTTGCCGTCCGCCTGCTTCCCGTGGCCCCGCCGCAGTTCATCTCTCTCTCCCTGAGCCACCGAGAGCTCGTTTCCTCCCCTGTCTCAGACTCTCTGACTGCCGCCCTGAGTGCTCGTGCTTTAGACAGCGATGTGCTTTCTGTTTATCTTTTCTGGCTTCTGCGGTCTTCCGGGTGCGCTAGCCCAGTTTAACTTGTCTGACAATTTGTGCATGGGTTTAACTTGCACAGTGGGTTCTTTCTGGTTGGCGTGTGCGGGTGAGAGGACTAGATCTCGGCATCGTGCTTCTCTTCATTTTTGGCAATTAAGTGCCATCTTTGGTATTTAAATTATGATCTAACTGATACTCGTGTTGTGTTTCGGGGTCCTGGCTCAGCTGCCAGCGGATAGTACTTTTTTTCCAAAGTGACAATTTTAGGGAAAAGCAGACTGTTTAGGATGTTTATGGTTTTTGCTTTGTTTAGTGAACCTTTTAAAAAATGTCTTGGGTAAAAGTAGCTCATGGGTTTCCTTGGGGAGATTTAAAATTCCTAAAACTCTGATAACCAGAACTTAACATTCTTGGAACTCAGCTGACCTACTTTCCTGGAGTAGAAAAAAAGCAGTTAGAAAGCTGGCTCTGCTTTTTGTCGCTGAAGGGAACTGGGGATGAGGAAATCATTTGGAGAGAAGTTAGATGGAGTGGTGTGTGCAACCCTAGACCATCTGGCCCTGGGTGTGCCCCTCCACACGCTCTTGGAATGTCCACAGTGGGCACTTTTAGGTTCTTAGGCACTGGGATTCCCGTCTGTCATTGCTCCTTTACAGAAACAGTGTGGTTTTGCCCCCTCCCTTCACCTCCCCTCCCTCTCTCTCCCTCTCCCCTCCCCCTCTCCTCCTCCTCCTCTTCCTCCCTGCTCTCCCCCCTTTTCACAGGGTCTCAGTAGTCCAGGTTAGCTTCAAACTCACTACTGCGTTGCAGTGGATGACCTTGAGCTTCTCATCCTCCCGTGTGTGCTCCCCCATGCAGTTTATGTGGTGCTGATGTTGAGGCCGGAGCCCTGTGCATGCTAGGCAAGCACTCTACCAACTGAACTGTACCCATAGATGCAGATTCACGGTCCTCGCATATTTCCTAGATACCCGCTGTGCTTCTCTGCAGGAAGACACGTTTCTAATGAGACTTTCTGAACAGAGAGAAATTGCCATACAACGAAGCATTCTTGCTGCTCCAAGGAAACCATCCATATTGGACCATTAAATCTCTTATTTGCAGTTGCTTTTATTTTTCTTTCTAATAAGAAATGCTAAAGCCAAAGTTAAGAATTCTCATCACATTATTATAATCCAGCAGGTCTTAGTTCTTTTCAGAAGAGAAACCAGAAGTTTCCCTGGTACTTTACAGTTGGACCAAAGTGGTCAGTTTGCCTTGAAGAGATTGTTAGCTGTTCTCTGTATTGCCATCCTTCCTAAGGAGAAAGGGGAACAGAATGAAACACTGTCCGCATGCAATGCATTTGTCACGGGTAACTTGTAATGAATGCTACAGGCACGCTTCCTTTAAAATGCATTTGCATTTTCATGGCTGCCTTCTTTGTTTCTGCTTCTTCTGCTTTACTAATGAATGTCTTACCTATTAACAATACAATAGTTATTGTCAATAAATATGAATATATGAATACTGGGTTATTCATAAAGTCCCAAGGAAGTTGTAGATGAGAGCTGTAGGTAAGACTGTTTGCTGTAGACTCTGTCACTCTCAGGGTCTTTAGTTCATTTAAAGTCTGTAGACTTGCAGAGCTCTGGTAAGAAAACGGTGTGGAGACACCGCGATCAGATGAGCCACAGTGTGTTAACCTCCAAACCCTGAGAAATGTATTCAGAATGCATGTGTGTGATTTGTTCTTCTGAGTCCATAAATCTTAACAGCCTAAAGATTCCAAAGAGAAAAGAAGCCTGCTGTGAAACATGGGACTTGGGGCATTCTCTATCAGAGCTGTGGGAGGTGGGGCTGGGCCATCTCTAGGTTCTGTCCTGCTCTGGACTTGCTGTTGCCAAGCTGTTACCAAGGGGTACAGGGTGAACCTGCAAGCACAGGACATTAGGATAAAAGTGCAAAGCGTGTTTAGCTCTTGGGATTGTGCTGCTGAGCTTGTCACTCAGATCTGTTCTGCATTTTGTCAAAGGCTTGTCAGAAATGTAGAGGACAGTCTACATTTGTGAGGGATGAGTGAGTGCTTGAAACATTGTTGTCAGGAGCTACTGAAATCTTTTTTTTCCCCCTCTGAGGTAATGTTTCTTTGTATAGGCTGTCCTGGTACTAGCTCTGACATCGAACTCACGGAGATCTGACTGCCTCTGTCTCCTGAGTGCTGGGACTAAAGGTGTGCAACACCACCGCTGGGCTAGAATCTTAAATTTTATGCAATTGGACTTTTGCTTTTTTTTCTGTTTGTAGATTTGCCCTTATGTTCCTATTTTATTTGTTACTTTTTAAATGTTTGATGATAAATTTATTCAGGTTTTAATGTTGAAATGACTACACGAACCAGTCTGTGATTTAAGTTTTAACTTAAATTTATTGTGTGTGTTTGGTATGTGTGGGTGAGTATGCATGCCATGGCATGTGTGTGGAGGTCAGAGGACAACTTTGTGGTTCTGGTTCTTTCTCTCCTTCTACCGTTATGTGGGTTCTAGGATTGAACTCAGATCATCAGGCTTGCATAGCGAATGCTTTTACTCTGGGCAATCATGTTGTCTCATAGTCTGGAAGATTTTTTTTTTTTATGGATTCATATAATCCCTTTGTAGATTGCACAAATGGTTGAAAAACATTTATTGTTGGCTAGCATAATGCTATGAAACTGAATTGCTATCCAAAATGAATTTATGAATTTATATTTCTTAGAATCTATATTTAATTTTATGTGTATTTTTTCCTGCACATGTGCTTGTATACTATGTGCATGCCTGATGTCTCCAGAAGCAAAATGGGAATATCTGATCCTCTGGAACTAGAGTTACAGGTGGTTGTGAGCTGCATGAACTATATTATCTGCGTGTGTGCCCACGTGTGCTGTGTGTGTAGAGGGCAGGACACTGGGTGTCTGCCTCAAGGAGAAGGCTCTCTTCTTGAACTTGAAGTTCGCTGATTGGACTGTACTGGCAGGCTTGTGCTCTGGTTCCAACTGCGTGTTGCCGTACCCTCCTTTTCCTCTTCCTTTATCTCTCCCCTCCCCTCCTCTCCCCTCCCCTCCTCTTCCTCCTCTCTCTCCCCCCTCTCTTTGGCAAAGTCTCATGTAGCCCTGACCTGCCTTGAATTCCCCATGTCACTGGGGCATAGTGTTAAATTCTGCCTCTGCCTCCTGGGTGCTGGGATTAAATTATAGGTGTGTGCCACCACTGCCCAGCCAGTTATATGTTCTTAAATCTCTTTTTTTAAAAAGTCTATTCTCCCCTCGTGTGTGTGTGTGTGTGTGTGTGTGTGTGTGTGTGTGTGTCTTTTGTGAGGCTGTGTGCATATGAGTGCAGATACCTGCAGAGGCCAGAGATGTCAGGTACCCTGAGGCTGGGGTTGCAGGGGTTTGTAGACCACCCTGCGTGTGTGCTGGGAAATGGACTCAGATCCTTTACAAGAGCAGTAAGTGCTCTTAACCTCTGAGCCATCTTTTCAGCTTCTTAAATGTTTTAATAGTGTACTCTTCTCTAAGTACATGCAATTTTATAGAGGACGATGCCTTCTAACTAATGCCAGGCAGTTTTTCAGATGTTTAAGGGGACAGACTTTTACACCGTGTAGGACTAGCTCAGGTCCATGTGTAACTCAGATGGGAGACTGCTCTCCAGATGATCCCCACTCTCAATCCTGTTTCCGCTACTCATGTCTGGGTAGACACATCAGAGCCCTGGCTGCGTGAGCACTGTGCTCACTGACAGGCTCTCCTATGATAGGTCCTTCCTGTTAATAGTGTTTTTAGGAAAACAGTGAGGAGCCTTTTACCAACTCCGTTTCTTTGTATATAGGGGACTCTTGTTTCCTGTCCTTGACCAGTTGTGAATTACTGGTGACCACTATTTCTTGAAATTATTTTTATTTAATACAGAAAGTATCTGTTTACCAAAACAACTAAAATATGACTAAAATAAAATAGTCCCCCCCCCCATCAGATTCACTCTTAGGCACCACTGTTGGATAAATTGTTTGGAGTATTTTTACTTGCTTTAAAAGTTTACTTTTTTGCTTGGCGGTGGTGGCGCACGCATTTAATCCTAGCACTTGGGAGGCAGAGGCAGGCGGAGCTCTGTGAGTTCTGGACCAGCCTGGTCTACAAGAGCTAGTTCTAGGTCAGGCTCCAAAACCACAGAAAAACCCTTTCTCGAAAAGCCAAAAAAAAAAAAAGGTTTCCCTTTTTATTTTAAAACCAAAACCAAACTAACATATCCTGACTTACTTATTCTGTGCTCTTCACCTCTTTTACCTACCTCCCTCTCTCTCTCTCTCTCTCTCTCTCTCTCTAGGTAGGATTTATCTGTGTAATCTGGCTGCCCTTGAACTCACCTGCTTCTGCCTCTGCTGGAACTAAATGCATGCACCACCATCTCCCGGTTTACCTTCTACTCTTGAACTGGGTAACTCCCTTAATTCCCAGAGCCCTGTGCACCTCATCACATAGGCACACCTCCTCCTCCTCCTGCATCTCTTACCGTTCCCATCCAGTTAGGTCAGTACCCTTTGGACTCACCTGGCAGGTTCTTGCCCGCATGAGTCTGTCCTTTGTCCTTCGACTGGGGATGTCCTGTCCTGCCCATGTGTGTCTCAACCCTGGTTTGAGTTCCGTGTGTCCATCCACCCTTCTCTAGCTACTCTGGGTATTTCCCTGCATTGTCTCCATTCCCAGGAGGGCTGTCCAGTGGTGATGTGTAAAAGCACCGTGGCTTGTCGTCTGATGTGCACCTGTTGTACTGTGCTGTCACCCCATGCTCAAACACACACCCATTGTTGCTGCATATTAGAGGGAATGGTGCTGAGGGTGATTCTAAAGAGACTGTTGAGGGCCGTTTCATATTGACAGTAGTGCGCGACGCTAAGTTCTTGCCCTCTAAAACCTAGAGATCAAAAGTAAGCGTTCAGCCTGGATGTTGAACCCCTTCCTTCCTTCCTCTATGACGGCCAGGTAGAGCCTGTCTCTTGTCAGCAAGACTGACTTTTGTGGAGCAGGGCTGCTGGCGGCCTGGGGCCCTCTGCTTCTGGGGAGCAATCCTGCCCTTCTGACCAGACGGGCAGGCTGTGTCTGTGCTGCAGGTCAGGCGTCACTGTCTGGTAGCTCTCATCGGAGTATGTCAAGAACAGCCAGACAGATCCTCAATTAAAGTCTTCTCACTCTAGCCAAGAATTGCCTGGAAGTCTCCGTGTTCCGGCCCCTGCTCCTCCAGTGCATTTTTATGTCATGTTAGGAGTGTTTTGTCTGCATGCATTGTCTGCACTTTTTGCATGTTTGGTACCCAGGGCAGCCAGAAGGGGGTGTTGGATCCCCTGGAACTAAAGTTACAGACAGTTGTGAGCCTCAGTATGGGTGCTGAGAATTGAACCTGGGTCCTCTGAAGGAGCAGCCTGTAGTCTTAACTGCTGATCCAACATCCATCTCTGCAGCCTCAGTAGGCATGTTTTTCAGGTACTTCCTAGACCCTCAAACTTGGGTAACCTTTAACATATACAAATACAGCAAGTAGAACCTTAGGCGTTGAGGGTTCAGTGGACTCTTATCCTCAAATTTCACACTGTCGCCACCAGCACAGGAGGTTAAGGAAGGCAGTGAGGTGTGGTTTGTCTCGGTGTGTCACTCCAAATCCTGTGATGTAGCAGGAGGGAATGTCATCGTCGACATTGTTCGGGATGGACATCTGCTTTATGTCTGGCTAACTTTACAGGAAGCCAGAGCCGAGAGGTCTATTTTTATTCTGACATAAAATCCTTTTAGTTGTGAGGTGGGAAGTTTCCCTCAGGGGTTCTCAACCTGTGGGTCACAAGCCCTTTTGGGGGTTGAATGACCCTTTCACAGGGGTCACCTAAGACCATCAGAAAACATAGCATTTATATTATGATCCATAACAGTAGCAAAAGCACAGTTATGACGTAGCAATGAAAATACTTTTATGGTTGGGGGTCCCCACAGCATGAGGAGCTGAGTTACAGGGTCGCAGCCGTAGGAAGGAAGGCTGAGCACCACTGCCATGGGAGATTATGTGCTCCTGTGTGTTTGTTCTGTGTATCTATTATTATTATTATTATCATTAATTATTTTGTTGTTTTGAGGCAGGGTTTCTCTGTGTACTCCTGGTTGTCCTAGAACTCACTATGTAGACCAGGCTGGCCAGGCTGGCCTTGAATTTAGAGATCTGTTCTGCCTCTCAAGTGCTCGTATTAAAGGAGTGCACTACCACCACCTGGCTTTTTTTTTTTTTTTTTTTTTTTTTTTTTAACTTGTTTTTTTGAGACAGAGTCTCTTTTTGGCCAAAGTTGCAAAGTTGTGCTGTCCTTGAAGGCTTGATTCTTGACCTCCCAAATACTGAGATTGCACTTTCTCTCTCTCTCTCTCTCTCTCTCTGTGTGTGTGTGTTCAAGTGCATGCACACGTGCCTGCCTCGGTGCACATGTGAAGGTCAGAGGCTAGCTCTTGGGTGTTGGCTCTCTTCTACCATCTGAGTTCAGGCTCACCCCAGGCTCCTGGCTGTAACCTTTTATGGTTGAACTAATTAACTGATGAATTAATTTGCTAGTGTTGGGTAGTGAATGAAGGGCCTCATGCATGGTGGGCATGCACTCTGCCAGCCTAGCTATAGCGTCCCTCAACTGCTGAGATTGGAGTTTCATGCCTTGTACAGTTACCTGGAGGTTGAACTAGGCTGGACGTTTTGTACCTCAGCTTTCTGTAGCTGCAGAAGGACCCCTGCATTGTTTCTGGTTTGGGGCTATATGAATAGCGTTATCAGAAAGTTCCTGTACTTTTTTCTCAAGGTGGTTTTCATTTCTCTGGCGTGCCCAGGAGTGCTTAGCTGTGGAGATGCTGCTGGTGACCCTAGTGTCTGTTGATACTGGAAATGAACCTGTGGAGGATGAGATGCTCACTGTGCACTCTGAGATGCTGCTCTTGCTTTTCATTTTCTTCCCCAAGCTACTCTGCCTCTTGTTTGGTTTTTGTTTTTTTGTTTGTTTTGTTTTGTTTTTTCAGGGCTGGGAATCGAACCCAAGGCTTCCTGAATGCCAGCATACATACTACCACTAAGCTGTATTCCTGACTCATAGGTGTTTTTTGGAGTCAAGGTCTCACGTTGTAGCCCAGGCTGGCCCGGAACGCCAGTGACTCCTGCTGGATGTGTAGGTGTGCACCAACACTCTAGTGGGCGCTGTTGATTCCTTTGTAGCGGTTGTGTGCTCTTGAGTCTGCCTGTTTCTCCTGCCCTCCCTGGGGTGAGGTGCAACTTCCCTTTGCCTTTTCACTTCGGGTCATCCGTCCTTTCGATGGACTGGGCATTCAGAAGATCATTTCCCAAGCTTTCACCAAACCTGCTCTCCTGAACAGTCTTCCACTTTCTGAAGAGTTGACCCGAGTGGGCACCAGCTCCCCCGAGCACAGAGCAGCTCCCTGCCTGTTTCCCGGCCCTCCTAGCTCATGGTTTCTGCTAAGACAATAAAAAGTGTTTGATGCTGTCTGTCATGGTCAGCTTCCCTTCCTGTGACCTCTCCCGCTGTACCCTGACTTGACTCGGCTTTTCTAGTCTACTGCTGTGTCTCCCCACCCCCATCCACAAGTACAGGGTATTCTGACTCCTCTGCCAGGTGGGAGTTTTCTTGCCTGCCAGGGTCACTGATCCAGCTGTCAGCTTTCTTGTAGTGCAGTCTAATGCAGGTGCCCAGTGTTCTCACCTCCGAGTAGCTGTAGCCTGTCGCCTTCTTCCGGTGGCCACACTTCCTCTCACCCGCTACCCCTTGGGCCGCTGTTTCTATGGCTCTTGCTGGCTTCTCCCCTTTGCAGACTCTTCACATTTGCCCTGTAGGACGGCTGCCCCTCCCAGGATGCTCTTGACCTCTCGCGTGGCTGCCCCCTCTGTGTGCAGCCCCGGGTCTCCTGAGCTCTGGACTCACCATTTGCCTCCAACTATACCTCTGCTAACTCTCCTTCATTAGAGCACGGGGGGGGGGGGGGGGGGGGGGAGGGAGGGAGGAAAAGGAATAAAATGGTTTGCCTCCCGTGGTGGCACTCAGCTTTCTCTCCTTTGAGCTGTTACAACACTCTTTTCTGCGTCTCTGTGTTTGACACAGACTAGTGTTTCCCTTCAGGAAGCAGACTGTAAGTTCTGTTGATAAGTTTGTTCACTGATCTTGTTCGCCCTAGTCTCTACTTAAAAAATATTTGAGTGAACAGATTGTGGGTTTCAGTTTTAGAAGGGGGTGGTCTCACAGTCTTAGCAAGGCTGGCCTTGAACTTTGATCCTCCTGCGTCAGCCTCCCAAGTGTCTGGGTCTACAGGCGCGTGTCACCAGGCACAGCCTGCACATAGTTTTGAATGTCATGGGTTCTCTGAGTCACTGAGGTCTACGGTTTCCTTCTGTAGCTGCTGTCTCTGCTGGCCTTCATCTGTGAAGAGGTTGTGTCCGAGTGCACATTGTGTGGAGGCTTGTACTTCTTTGAATTTGTGAGCTGTAGCGCTTTCCTCCTGAGCCTCCTCCTACTGATCGTGTACTGCACACCCGTGCATGACAGAGTGGACCCTGGAAAAGTCAAGGCATCGGTAAGTGTGTCAGGCGCTGCTGTCTGGGAGTCAGCCTGGTTTATTGTTACAGCAGTAATGCGTTCAGAGCAAAGACCAGGAAGAGCGTGTCTGTGCGCTAGCCCTGTGTCCCAGCGGCTCCTGCTCCACTCACTCCCAGGATGGACGGGGAAACGAGAGGGAGAAACCACCAGAGATGTGTGGTTATTGGTGGCTTCGCCTAATTCACGTTAGACATTTTGTTGTTGTTTGCTTTAAGACAGAGTCTCACTAGCCCAGATTGGCCTTGAACTTACAGTTCTTCTGCCTCAGCTTCCTTAGTGCATGCCTGCATGCACACACACACACACACACACACACACACACACACCTGCCTTACCTAAACATTTTTTAATAGTGAGTTCCAGGCCAGCTATGTAGAAAGACTCTGTTTGAAAAACGAAAGAAGTAAAAAGGATGTTTTCCTTATAGGGCTGGGAAAGCTTCATTTTCACATAGGAGGTGCTTGGCTTTCTAGTGGCAATCTGCTGACCCTGGTGTTTGCTGTAATTTAGACTTGAGGGCTGACAGGTAATTCATTTGTCCCCTTAATTTAGGGGACATTGACTTCCTAGGTAGCATTTGAGTTGTCAGTAGTAGTTGGTGGAGAATGGGTTGGCATAATTAGAGGGTTGACATCTCCAGGGGAAGGGTGAAAACATTTTAAACCATTAACAGTATAAAAAGAAAGCCATATGGTTTTGTATTTTAGATTGGTGAGAAGTTGGCATAAGGTCAGGAATAGATCAAATGCTTATATACTTTTTTCTGTCTTCTCTGTGGCGCTAGAGAGCTATCTCATATGGCTGCTCACCTTTTATCCCACGCTGGATGCTGGAGACAGACTGAGTAGCCAAGTTAGAGAGCTCTGTGTGCCAGTGAGAGACGATATTAGGTGCAGAGCGTCTGGGAAAGATGATGGCATAGACCTCCGTTTCAGGCATGTACACACAGGCACACATACACATGCAAAACAAACAAACAACAACAACTGAATCCTGGGCTCAGTGAATTGATGTGGGTCTACATGCCTGTAATTCCAGCAGTCAGGTGTGAGAGAAAGCTGACTCTCCAAGGTTGCCCTCTGACCTCCACACACAGCCAGTGTCACTTGGCATGTCCACTCCCAGGCCCCCAACACTGACAGTAAGAAACAAACAAGAAACTGGGGCGGTGGTTGCTAACACCTTAATCCCAGCACTCGGAGGGCAGAGATAGAGGATCTTTGTGAGTCAGAGGCCAGCCTGGTCTACAGAGCAAATTCTAGGACAGGAACTACACAGAGGAACCCTCTGTCAGAAAACAAAACAACAAACCAAACAAAAAAGAAACAAACAAGAAGTTACTTCACTAGAAAGTGGTATAGCTCGGATTTGAACTGAGGTAAACTGACTTTAGAAGCTATGTTTATTGAACACTGCATCTTTATTTTTAAAAAATAGGAGGCTGAGCAGGGCGTTGGTGGCGCACACCTTTAATCCCAGCACTCGGGAAGCAGAGGCAGGAGGATCTCTGTGAATTCAAAGGCCAGCCTGGCCTACAGAGCGAGTTCCAGGACAGTCACCAAAGCTACACAGAGAAACCTGTCTTGAAAAACAAAAACAAACAAACAAACAAACAAAAATATGAGGCTGGAGAGATGGCTCAGGGGTTAAGAGTACCAGCTGCTCTTCCAGAAGACCTGGGTTCGATTCCCAGCACTCACCTGGCAGCTCACAACTGTCTGTAACTCCAGTTCCAGGGGACCTGGCACCTTCACAGACATACATGCAGCAAAACACCAGTACAAAAACAAATCTTTACAAAATATTTTTTGTTTATCTGTTTGCCTGCGTATCTGTCTGTCTGTCTGTCTATACACTCCATGCATACCTGGTATCCTCGGAGGCCAGAAGAGTGACAGATTCCTGGAACTGGAGTCACAGATGATTGTGAGCCACTCTGTGGGTTCTGGGAACTGAACCAGGGTCCTCTGGAAAAGCAGTACGTCCTGTTAACTGTTGAGACATCTTTCCAGCCCTCATAGTGCAGTTTTGTATCTCAAGATGTTTGTCCTAGATAGGCATGGTAATCCCAGCACTTGGAAGGTAGCTGCAGGGGGATCAAAAGTTCATGGCTAATCTGGGCTACATTAGGAATCATGAGAAATAAACATAAAACCACCAAACAAAAGTTTAGCTCAGTGGTAGTGTTTGCCTAGCATTCATAAGGCCATACGTGGTTCACTCCCCAGTAACACACACACACACGCACACACACACAGAAACACACACCTCATACACACATACACACACATACACAGACGTATTGAAAAATGAAGATGTGTTAGGTATGGTGACACATGCCTATAACCCTAGCACTCAGGACGCAGAGGCAAGTGTTTGGAGTGCTTGAATCTCAGAATTCAGGCCATTCTGGTCCACATACTAAGTTATAGAGCAGCCAGGGCTACATGGTGAGACCCTGTTTCAAGAAAATTTTTTGTAATATACTATTACATTCAGCTGGAAGTAGATAGTGTTAGCATTCAGGCCTATTGAAAGGCATGTTTACATTTGGGTTGCACCAAGAAAGTCAGTCAGGGTTTTTTGAAATTAAAAATGTTAAACTTGGTGTCTGCTTTTCTAACCTATTGTACTCTTACTTCCTCTGCATGTGTAGGATTTTTACATCACTCTGGGAACAGGCTGTGTATTTCTGTTGGCATCTATCATTTTTGTTTCTACCCATGCTGGGTCCTCAGCTGAAATTGCTGCAATTGTAAGTACTTAACCTTACTTAATTTTGTTTCCTTAGAAATAGAGAATTTAGCCAGGCGGTGGTGATGCTTGCCTCCAATCCTGGCACTCGGGAGGCAGAGGCAGGTGGATCTCTGTGAGTTTGAGGCCATCTGGTCTGTAGAGGGAGTGTCAGGACAGCCAGGTCTACACAGAGAAACCCTGTCTAGAAAAACAATAAATAATTTAGAAAGTGTTTGATAAGTTATATATAAGTAGTAGTTACTACTTACTCGTTTATATTAATGATGTGTGTGTTTTTGTGGGGTAGGCACCTGTATGCCATGATCTGTGTGGAGGTTAGGGGAGATCTTCAGTTTGGTCCTGTCTTTTTTCACTGCTGTATAGCCAGGCCAACCAGCCCACTAGTTTTCCTTTTTAAGATAGGATCTCACTATGTAGCCCTGGCTGGCTTAGAACTCACAGAGATCTGGGTGCTGGGATCAGGGGCATGAGTCATCTCACCTGACCCCATTAGCTTCTTGGAATCTCATATTTCCACTTCCTGTAGGTGTTCTGGGATCTGCTTTTGTTACTATGTTTGACTTTTTCTTGGGTTCCAGGATCTGACTAAAGATCTTCAGGCTGTGTGCCAAGCACATCTCCCCCACTGAGCCATATCCCCAGCCTGAGAGTAGTTTTTCTTCTACTTTTAAATGTAATAGTAACAAATAGTAAACAAATACGGTAGGCTTAAGAGCCCACCTTCCTGAAGTTGACTGAGTTGTGTTACCAAAGTTTTCTTTATGTTGCATATAAGTAAGTGTCTGCTGATGCAAATGGCCCGATGGCCTTTGTCACACACTTTTCTGCCCTTTAGTATTGCTTTAGGCACTCCGGAGAAAGGACTTGCAGGGTTAGCCAGGCAAGTTGTGATGGAGTGTTTGAGTGAGCCGACAGAGTGCTAAAAGATGGCTAGGCACTGAGAGCTCTGCTGCTTGTGTAGCCGACTCAGGGTCAGTTTCCAGTGCCCACATGACTGCTCAGAACCCTCCGTGATACCAGTCCCAGGGGATCCAGCTCCTTACAGCACTGGGCATCCACATGGTGTGCAGACATGCATGCCGACAAGATACTCAGACACAGCCGAGAAAAAGAGGTAAAATCGTTAAAAACAAAGTGTTGGGAGAGTTGCAGATGATGCCGTGCCAGCCTGGTTTGTAAGGTGAATGAGTGGATAGACAGATGCAATCAAGCCACAGCAGACTCCAGAAGGAACAACCTGGGTTTGGTAATGAGTTTATAAATTAGTTTGTGTTGGCTGTGCTGGGGACATGCAGGTGAATGAGTAGTGCAGAGCTCAGGTTACTGTGTTTGAGATGAAACTGTCTTCAGGGTAGAGGAGTAGTGGAGGAAAGGAAGAAGCCAGAGGCTGCAAGAGGTGGAAGTGTAAGGCAGCCATGCCACTGCCTCAGTCCTAGCATTCTGGAAACTGAGGCAGAAGATTGTGTTTGAGGCAACCTACCTAGGACACCCCTTCACCCCCCCATACAGACACACACACACTCTCTCTCTCACCCACACACTCACACCCATTCACACGCTCACACCTACACTCACATACACACACTCACTCACCCACACACTCACACCCATTCACACGCTCACACCTACACTCACACACACACTCACACCCATTCACACACTCACACCTACACTCACACACACAACTCACTCACCCACACACTCACACCCATTCACACGCTCACACCTACACTCACACACACACACTCACACCCATTCACACGCTCACACCTACACTCACACACACCCACACTCACACCCATTCACACGCTCACACCTACACTCACATACACACACTCACTCACCCACACACTCACACCCATTCACACACTCACACTCACACCCACACTCACACACACTCACACTCACACCCATTCACACGCTCACACCTACACTCACACACACACACTCACTCACCCACACACTCACACCTACACTCACACCCACACTCACTCACCCACACACTCACACCCATTCACACACTCACACCCATTCACACACTCACACCTACACTCACACACACAACTCACTCACCCACACACTCACACCTACACTCACACCCACACTCACTCACCCACACACTCACACCCATTCACACACTCACACCCATTCACAACTCACACCTACACTCACACACACAACTCACTCACCCACACACTCACACCCATTCACACGCTCACACCCACACTCACACACACTCACACACGTACTCACACCCACACACACTCACACATGCACACATACCCACACTCACACATACACATGCACACACACTTACACATGCACACACATACTCACACATACACACTCACACATACTCACATACGCACACACACACTCACACACACCCACACTAACACACATACTCACACACACTCACACATATGCACACAGCACGGAGTCATGGAGAAGATAGGCCAGAGTTGTAAGAGACTTGGTGCTGTTTTCTTCCTGTTTTGGTTTTCATCAACTTCCTCAAGGTTTTGCTATTGAGGAAGCTAACTTTGAAGCATGGTCTTTTGTCTCTTGACAAAATTCTCAAGAGTGTTTGGCCATATGTTAGAATAATACAATGAGGAAGTGATTTAAGGAAGAGGAAGTAGGTAGTGGCATCATGTCCCTGTGTTGTTATAGAGTGACAGGTAACTGGAGAAATGTAGTTTAGGTAATTGAACCTAGTAGTGTTTAATAAAATGGAGCTTTTGATATGAATAGCTTCATCTGTCTTCACCTCACCTAAGTTGTAAGTTACATGTTTCCCTTATCACATCTGTGGGTCGGTGACACCGTTGCTAATCAACATGTGTTTTGTACCTTTTGTGGAATTTCATTTATCTGCTGACCTGAGTCTCACTGATTGACAGCCACACAGACTGCTACATACATGTCAGTATAGCAGAGGCTGGGCGTTTCAGCTAGTAATGCCAGCCACCACCTCAGGGACTCAGGGACCCGACTCTGAGCCCACTGAAGAGATGGGAATGGCATTTTGTGATGGGGTGCTCTAAGGTAAAAATATGGCTCCGCTGGAGGAATACGAGCTTTGTAGGACTTAGATAAGAAGACCATACCTCAAGACTAGCTTGGGCTGGCAGGGCTGCAGGCTGGTGTATCTAGATCTCTTCCATGCTACCTTGACTGCTAAAGTGGCCAGGTCTTAAAGCAGTTGGCCTTTCCAGTCTTCTGTGTGTAAAGACACAGCTTTACAGCACATGAGGTGGTGGAGGAGTTGGGGTGCAGGGGATTGAGATGTTGCTTGAGGTCTGTCCTGCTGCTGTTATGCATACGTACTAGGGTTGAGAATAGGAAGGGTTGGGTTGATGTGTCGGTGGGTAATAGGATGAAGGGGGGACCTTTTTTTGTGTGGACATGTTTTATTTTTTGTTTTTCTAGGTTTTTCAGGCGGAGTTTCTTTGGTAGCCTATGTAGCCCAGCTGTGTAGACCAGGCTGGTCTCAAACTCACAGTGATCTGCTTCACCTGCCTCTGCCTCCTGAGTGCTGGAACTAAAGGCATGCACCACCACACCCAGCAAAGGGTGACCTTCTTACTAGCTAGATGGACTTCTCATCTTGAGGCAGCCATAGAAAGAGACAGGTGTGTGGCTTTGGATATCCCTGAAGGTATGGTAGCCTCTGAGCCTGAAGACGGAGCCTCTTTTCCACCTGGTCCCACAGCTGTTTGGTTCCAAATAGAATACACTGAGGCGGCTTATATTAATTATAAACTGTTTGGCCAATGGTTCAGATTTCTTATTGGCTATCTCTCTTTCTCTCTCTCTCTAAAAGGTTTTATTTATCATGTATATAACATTTTGCTTCCATTTATATCTGCACACCAGAAGAGGGCACCAGATCTCATTACAGACAGCTATGAGCCATCATGTGGTTACTGGGAATTGAACTCAGGACCTCTGGAAGAGTAGACAGTGCTCTTACCCTCTGAGCCATCTCTCCAGCCCGGCTAGCACTCGCTTAATTATTAACCCATTTCTGTTAAACTGTGTATTGCTGTGAGGCTGTGGCTTACCACCAATGCTCTGGCATGTTACTCCTTTGGCTACGTGGCCTTTGTACTGTTAGTACAGTGATTCTGTATAAGGCCACTCATTGCTCCATTCTACCTCATGATGGAGGCCTGTACAGGACCCGCGACTTCCGGGTCATGGGGAGAGCTTTGCAGGCCCCCTGTCTGGCATGAGGTATATGGGCAGGGTCATTGTCAGTCTGTATGGAAGCAGGGAGCCCATTTGGATATTACTTTAAGAATTCCAGGGCTGAGCAGTGGTGGCGCATGCTTTTGATCCCAGCACTGGCGAGGCAGGGGCAGGGGGTTCCCTGTCTACAGCCTGCCTGGTCTACAGAGCTAGTTCCAGGACAGGCTCCAAAGCTACACAGAGAAAACTTGTCTTGAAAAACAAAACAAAACAAGCAACCAACCAACCAACCAAACGAACAAACAAAAAAGATCTCCATTAGTATGTCAGCTGCTTTGGATGTGTGTGGAAGAGCTTCTACCTGTTCAGAAGGGCCAGGACTGGGACCCTTTAGGGTCTTTTTAATAGATGCCATATGGGTGACAACATGCCAGTCTAGGCCAGAGGCTTGTTCTCTTGGAGCCCCTCCCTGAAAAGTTTCTGCACCCCCTAAGCCTCTCTGCTGACACAGCAGTCCAAATCAGACCAGATATAACTGAATTAGAAAAGGCCCAGGTTTAATGGGTAAAATGCTCCGGGATGATTTCCAGCCCCAGAGAGGAGGCACCCTGGAGGTCACATAGCTTTCCCCTTCCTGTCCCCGCCACACAGGAATCAGAGACAGCTGGACTCTAAGCACACACTGTGCACTATTGTTCACCCACGTGCATACACCGTCCTCCTTCTGCCCCACACTCTGCCTTGTAGGACTCAGAGCCCTCATCTTTCCATGGCATTCATAACCCTGGTGATGAATCCACTTCACTGTCGCCTTGGACCCCAGTATCTGAGCCCTTTCAGATGCGCCTCCTTTTGGCAGCCTTTCTGTTTCTTCAGGAGAGGGTTCGTAAACAGAGCAAGTAGGAAGGGAGAGGTGTGTGGACCGAAGTTCAGTCTTCATGGCAGCCTTGTGATCCCCAGGCTAACGGGGTGTAGTGTCTCTTGTAGTGGAGGGTGGCTGCTGCCTTGTGATCCCCAGGCTAACGGGGTGTAGTGTCTCTTGTAGTGGAGGATGGCAGCTGCTGGAGTTGGAGGCAGCCTGCCTCGGTTAGGATTGGGGTCTTCTGAGTGACAGGTTACCTCTTGGCAGTTAGAGACTCTACCCCCTTCCTGCCTCAGGAATTGAGTTTGGAGTCAGCTAGCTTATCTGTCATGCACCAGGGTTTAGCTGGGAAGCAGGGATGGTAAAGCTGCTTTTAAACATAACTAGAGTAGGGACTAGTCTCCAAATCCCAACTGGGAGTCATCTGGGAATGAAAGGAATTCCTTCCACAAGTTTCCAGAGGAGATAAGCAATGTTCGAGGTGACTCCTGGCTGTCCTGCAGGGAGTATATGGCTTGGAGGTTTCAGGTGGAGCAGATGGGACTGGGGACTTGTGCGGGTCAGGTGGAGCGGGTGGGACTGGGGACTTGTGCGGGTCAGGTGGAGCGGGTGGGACTGGGGACTTGTGCGGGTAGCTATGGCGATGGAGGAGCAGGGAGACTAGATCTTTCCTGGACTGCTGTCTCCTCCATCTGACGGCACCTAAGCCTGGGACAGGGCCTGCAGCGCTGTGGTGGAGTCTGTGTCTGTCGGGTGGGGCTTTGAGTAGTACCTGTTACTCCGGAAAGTTTTCTGTCACTTCTTTTCCTCTTTTACTGACTTTTAAATTCTGTTAAAGAATAGTAAGTATGGGGCTGGACGGATGGCTCAGCAGTTAGAACACTTGCCGCTCTTCCAGGGGACCCTGTGATCTCTTTAGGCCTCCACAGGAACCACCACACATGTGGCTTTCATTTCCTCAGGCAACACATGCACGTAGGTAAAAACAAAACGTGTCTTTAAGAAAGTAGTTATAAGGTGGGATGGATATGGACGCACGGGCTGAGTAGCACACGTGAGTATGCCCCGCACTCCCTCGTCTAACTCCCCCCTTTTCCTCCCCAGGTGTTTGGGTTTATAGCAAGTCTGATGTTCCTACTAGACTTTGTGGTGATGCTGTGTGAGAAACGGCAGGAGAGCCAGCTGAGAAAGCCCGAGAACAACTCCAGAGCTGAAGCCCTCACTGAGCCTCTCAATGCTTAGGCCGGGAGCAGGCGCTGTGGACCAGAGGAGTGGCTCCTTCCGTGGGACGTGGGACCTGTGTCGAGTGTGTACCTCGTCTGTTGGAGAGAAGGGGAGGGTCAGAGGGCGGCTTCTCAGTGCAGGGTGGCAGCCCTGCCAGTTAGCGCAGAGGGTTTTTAATAACTGTGGGAACTTATCTCAAATGGAGGAGGTTTTGTTGTTGTTGTTTGTTTTTTAAAGATGAGTTCTGTTGTCTTTGAATTGTATGTCTGTCATTTGCTATAGGCTACACCAGGCTTAGCTTCCAGACCGTTCATTCTCTGTCCTTTCAGGAACCGTTTCATTGTAAAATCATTTGCTTTGCTATTAGTTTTTGGTGGTTAAATTCTGTTCTGTTGCTGGAGATTTAATTGTGTTTAAGGTGTTGGTGTAGGCTTCTTCCCCTAATACATGGCCCTTGACTCTATCTCACTCAGCCTTACACTTATGTGCTAACCCTCAAGGGCAGGCATTCTTTGTGACCCATGCATTGCCTAACAGAAAGTGCATGGGCTGGTGGTGTTTGTGTGCATAAAAGCAACAGTGTCGGCCGCCTTGTGGTTTTACATTGCACTCTGGTTGTCAGATTAAGTTTAAAAGAAAAAACAAGATTGTTAGGGAATGCAGAAAGGTTGAAGAAACTGATACTACATCTAAAGACCAAAGGTAGAATAGACTCTTTGTCTTCTACAGTGCACGTGATTGCACAGGTAGGCCTTCACCACTTGGCGGAGATGTGAAGGATAGTGCTGTGTGCACACACGGAAACAGACGGTTGGTGGTGTGTGTGCTGTGTGCACACACGGAAACAGACGGTTGGTGGTGTGTGTGCTGTGTGCGCACACGGAAACAGACGGTGATGGCGTTCGTCCTGTGCATTGGGAAGTGGGTCTCCCTCCTTGCAGACAGTCATTTCTGCTCTAGTGCACACAGCTCTGCAGGCTTCTCTTTAGAGTCCTGGTGGGCTTGCTCACCCTCCTGAGTTGGTTCCCTGCTTTCTGACTTTCCAGATGGTCCCTGGGCCGCATCACCATCTTGGAAGGGAGCCTTCAGCCTTGCTTTCCCTTCTCTTCTCACTGTAGCTCGTGGTCGGCTTTCTCCAGGCTGAACAGACTGTTGTGCCCTCCTGGTCACCAAAAGCCTGAGGCAGGAAAGTCAGGTTCTTATTCTCGAGGGCCTCTGCTTGAGTTTCTCTCCAGGGGAGGCGTCTTGAGGAAGTGGATCCTAGAACCCCTGCTGGTGAATGCTGTTGGTGCTGTCAGGAGTCTACAGACTGTTCCCCACATTCTGGAAGGATTGCTTGTGGCTGGAAGGCTACCTTAGAATCACTGGGACACCTGTGTGCCCAAAGGGGACCTTTCTTATCTTCCTTCTGGGGTTTGACTGAGGCCTTCTATGCTCGAGTGGAGGTTTCCCGGGCTGGGGTTTCTCTCTGAAGACATGGATCATGAGTCCAGGCCTTTCTGTAAAGTTCCCACTCCTTTTCAGTGTCTTGTCTGCCACTGTTCGTGGTAGATGGTTCTGGTTCCCCGAGTGAGGCTATCGTAGTTCTCAGAACTGGATGAATCTGGGCACACAACTTCTGCTGTTACTGACTCACAGCCTGATCTGCTGGCATCGGGTTACTTGCTTGGGAGATCATGAAACCAATCATGGATGTTGCCTTACTGGGCATGCCATCTAAGAGAAGAGACCCTTGAAACCAAGAATAGAATAATTCAAAAGGGACCGGTTTATAGCAGACAATTTTAGAATTTTATATCAAGCTAGCTGTGCTATAGTAACTGGGACTGTCATCTAGACCTGTTGACAACAGCAAATCAGGGCAACTTTAGTGTAACTGACTGTTAGTCAGCTGTCTGGTACTGTAACAAAATACCTGAGGCAGTCAACTTAAAAAGAGGAAAGGTTGGAGCTGTAGAGATGGCTCAGAGGTTTAGAGTGCTTCTTCCTTCTCTTCAGAGGACCAGTGCTGGCAGGAGATGGCTCTCTATTGCCTCATACTGTAGCGCAAGGGGACCCAGTGTCCTTAGTCTCTCTGGCACCCAAACATGCATGGCGTACATTCACATAGACATAAAGTAAATCTTAAAGAAAAAAAAAAAAAAGAGGGTTTGTCTTGGCTTGCAGTTCTGTAAGCTTCAGCCCATGGTCAGTCCTGTTCTGTTAGATGGCCGCACATCATGGTGGGGGCTGGGTAGCGCAGGCTCATCCTGTGCATTCAGGAAACAAGGAAAGGGTGGATGTGACTTGAGGTCCTGTGTCCCCTTTGGAGGGTATGCTCCACCGACCTAAGCTCACACAAGGCCCCACCTCTCAATAGTGCCACCCAGGCCTTGGGGACAAGTTGTCCCAACCGTGTACCTCTCTGCTAGTGTTTGGCTTGTTCAGGATGGACGGACACACTCTGGCCTGGACAAGCAGCAACTTAGCATCCAGTTGTTTACTGTGGGTTTGCTTTGTCCCACAGCTGAGGGCTCTCTCGGCTACTGCATTCCTTCCCTTTAAGATAGTTTGGTCACTCTTAGAACTTTCTCTTTGGGGGCACCTGTGACTGGTTGGCTTCTGCATCCTCTGCGGGGAGATGGGGTTAAAGACTGGCACCAAATGAGCTCTAGAAGAGCTGGGACCAGAGACTGTCAACGCACAAAAGATGTCCTTAGTAGCAGCTGTGGCGAATTTGATTAGCTGTATTTTATACAAATTGTTTAGAATGGTTTTTGAGACTTAGAAGGGAAATATACTTACAGCACAAGACTTTTATAATTACTATACTTAAATTATGCTTTATGTGGGGACTGGGAAATGTATTTTTACATTGCTTATATCCAATCACTTTTGTATTTGTTGATTTAAAGCCTGTGGGTCTTTTTTTTTTAATCACTCTTAATATAACTTTTATAATCTTTTAAAATAAACCCTCTTAATTCCAGTGTGGATGTCTTCACAGTTGTTCATTGATTGACTTGTTTAGAGAAGCCCCTCACTTGAGGGAGCTAGCTGTCCCTTGTAGGTGGGTGTGTGGTTGGAGGGGTCTGGAGGAACATGCCTGCTCCCTATCCACTGGCTGCCCTCGGGAGAGGTTTGTCAGTTATGGCGGCACAGGGGCCTCTAGCTCCAGCTCTTGGGGCCGAGGCAGGAAGATGACTACTTCAGATCAACCTGGCTTACATGGTAGTGAAAATATTCTTAGAACCAGCCGTGGTGGTGGCAGATCTCTATAAGTTCAAGGCCAATCTGAGCTACATAGTGAGTTCCTGGCCAGCCAGATAAGCAGAAATATTTTTAGGGCATCACATGGGATGAATTGTCAAAGAATGTCCTATACTGAATGGCTTTAAATCATTTCTGCTGCCTCTTTCCCCTTTCTCTTCCTTTCCTCTCCTCTCTTCTCCTTCCCTTCTGGTGTTTGTTTGTTTGTTTGTTTGAGACAGGGTCTCATGTAGCCCAGGCTGGTTTCAAATTCACTATGTAGAGAATGACTTTGAACGCCTGTCCCTTCTGTCTTCTGACTCCACCTAAGCAATTTGAAAGAAGCAAGTTTGAACTCACATTCTCGATGTGGCTCTGGAGCTATAGGGAGACAGATGCATCTGTTTGGGTCTGTTTGGGGCAGCCTGATAACTAGACAGTGAGAAGCCAAGCCAGGAGGTTCTGCTGAGTCAGAGCTATTTGTGGAGTCTGTAAAATTCCTGCCTCCAGTCTCTGGAGAATAACAGGATCTTTATAGTCATCAGGAACTCACTGGAATTTGTACATTCCGCAGGCTATTTTGTTTTATGTTGATAAAGAACGTTGTATCAATATGCAGCTAGCTGGAAGGGAGAAAAGCTACTGCCATGCCCTCAACAGTGAGGGCAGGTCCGGGAGAGGAAGGCTCCATGCCTGGCGGTGCGGCATGGCTTTAGTCCCGAGGCTACTTGTGAGGCGGAGGCAGGGGATCAATCACTTGGGCCCAGGAGTTGGAGACCAGCCCTGGAAATTCAGTGGCTTGATAACATCCCAGAGCAGCTTGTGTCCGGGGTTTCCTGTCCATCCTGTGAGTGTTGTCGTCAGAGTTGAGACGTTATGTGCCGACATACCTAGATGCCACGTGCTCACAGGAAAGGTTGTTTATTCTCCTATTCCTTTTGCCTGAGCCCTTGGCGGGCCGCTCATCTCACTGGTGAATCAAGGTGATGCTGGCTATGATGAAGGCACTCTGACTGGATTAACGTAATCCAGCCCTCCCCACCCCCACCCTCCCCCAGCATGCTTCTCAGCTTCCACAACCTACCAGAATTGATCCTGCTAGCAGAGGAAGGGATTAGCATGTTAGAGTGAGGAGAAGTAACATCCTGGTGCATTGGTGAGAAACCAACTCCCAGTTTATAAAGCGCTGGTTAAGGGCTGGGGAGACAGCCCAGTCAGTCAAGTGGATCCCTGGGGTTTTTGATCAGTCAGCCAGTATAGCATGCTCTGGAGCTCCAGGGAGGAGAGAAAGGGTGGGCGGGTCCCAAGGGACACTGGTTTCTTCTGGTCTCCACACCCGTGTGCATATACATACCCACATACCCACACACATGGACTGCACACCTAAGCACATGTGTCAGCACACATTTGTAGTACTGGCTGCCCTGAGACGTCCCTTATTTTTATACCTGTACAAGTAATGTGCATCATAGATTTTTTTTTTTTCTTTTTCTTTTTTTGAGACTGGGTTTCTTTGGGTAGTCCTGGTTGTTCTGGAACTCAATCTGTAGACCAGGCTGGCCTCAAACTCACAAAGATCCACCTGCCTCTGCCTCCTGAGTGCTGGGATTAAAGGCGTGTGCCAGCACCACTCAGCAGAAAGCTGTTTTTAATCAAGGCAGCTATGAAAGGCAGTGAGTATTGATTGCCATTACCCCAAATTATCTTTAACACTCCGTTTTCATTCACGTGGGTGACAGTACCGACTACAGGTCAGAGCTTTGGGACTCTGGGCTCTCCCTTCCACCACATGGGAGATCCGGGAGCCAACTCAGGTGGGCTGGGTTCACAGCAAATGCCTTTATGTGCTGAGTGAATTCGGCAGCCCTTTAAGAAGACATTTTGTATTTGCCTACTTTTAGGTTGTGCCCCCTCCCCTCCGCCAGGCAGGGTCTTGTGTACCCCAGGCTAGCCTGGAGTGAGCTCATTAAGTAGTAGAATTATCCTGAACTTCTGATCCTCCTGGTCCCACCTCCCAAGTGACGGGGTGACAAACATGGGGTCACCCACATGGTGGTTCACAACTGTCACTCTAGTCCCAGGGCACTTGACACCTCTTTCTGGTGTCTGCAGGTACCATGCATGCATGTATGCACACATGTACGCAAAACACTCATACACATGAAATAAAACTAGTAAGTCTCTTAAAAATAAGACAGAGATAGGAGAAGGAGCCCCCCAGCATGGTGGATCATTGAGTTCAAGGCCAGCATCCTGTGATACATAGGGTTCCAGGACAGCCTTGGGTACAGAGTGAGACCCCTTTTTTTCCCCTTGAGATGGTCTCACTACATAGCTCTGGCTGTCCTGGAAATCACTATGTAGACCAGGCTGGTCTCAAACTCACAGAGATCTACCTGCTGGCGGAGTTCCTATCTTAAAAGGGGTGGGGGTGGGGGTGGGGGAGGTGTGTGGTGTCGAGCCAGTGGAATGAGAACTGCCTGTTGTATAATATGAGAACAGAATTGCACACGCACACACGCACACACACACACACACACACACACACACACACACGGGCTTTATTTATTACAGTGGGTTACAGCTATGGGCACAGGCTTAACCAGGTTCTCGGGTGAGGGTTAGCTGATTCCAGACCTAGTGCACGATTAGCCAGCCACCACATACATGCTTCCCCCTCCCGCCTGTCTTTCCCTCCTCTTCAGCACGTCGGGAACTACCCATCAGCACAGTTGCTTTTCTTAGGGGTGTGTGTGTGTACAATTCTGTTCCTCTAGAGACCCCTAATACCAAGTAGTTAAAGAGTGCTTGGCTGTTTTCTTGATTATGCATAGTAAAAAAAACTAATCTGAAGTGGGGAGGGAGGGAAGAGTGTGAGAGACCAGGCGTGGACCAGAGTTGAGGACAATGACTAATGCAGCCACTGCTCTGGCGGTCGCGGGGCGGCAGTGTGTGCCTCTGGACGCTAGGGGGCGCACGCTGCACGGCGAGCGCAAGGCCTTGGCCTCCACCTCCGCGTGGAGTTTCATTTCTGCAACTGGGATGCAGTGCTGTTGAGGCTGCTGCAAGCATGCACAGCTGCGGCAGGAGACCTGGGGTCCCACGGGAGGCCTCCCCCTGCGCGGCCGCGAGAGGAAATAGCTGGCCACCCTGCGGGCCTCGGCTTGACTTCTCCACTTTACCCCAGAACTGCCCGGACTGGCCCGCGCACCTTCACTCACCCGTGGATGGCCCGCCGCATCTGCCCCCACACAGGTTTTGCTTGGACTCAGCTGTGTTTCTAGGTTTCTTTGGCAGCGTTTCCGGATCGGGAGATGCTTAGCTAGAAAGCCCAGATTTCCAGTTTTCTGGGTCACTGGGACAGCAGTGAGCGCTGGCAGCCCTGGGCCAGCTGCCTCCTCTGGAGCAAAGCCCCCAGCAGGCAGGGTCAGCCTGGGCTAAGAGAGCCCTGACTGATCCACACAGCGCTCCTCCTCTGGTGCGAGCCGGTTCCTTTTTTTGTGCAAGTGTATGTGGAGAATATTTTTGTTTTTCCTAGTTTTTCTAGACTCACAGGAAGACAAACCCATCGATTGTTCCAGCTTCCCAGGAGGCAGCGAGTATTTTCTGGTGGTCTTACTGAGGGCAAGCCTCTCGGAGCTGGCCACCCTTGCCATCCACCTGTTGCTCGGTGTAAGTCTAGCAGCGTCTTCATCCTATCAGCTTACAAACTTTTTTTTTTTTCCCTCGAGACAGGGTTTCTCTGTATTGCTTTGGAGCCTGTCCTGGAACTGGCTCTGTAGACCAGGCTGGCCTCGAACTCAGAGAGATCCTCCTGCCTCTGCCTCCTGAGTGCTGGGATCAAAGGCGAGCGCCACCACCGTCTGGCAGCTTACGAACTTGAAAACATGTGTTTTTACTTTTCTGTTATTTATTTTTGTCACTGTGTAGCTCATGCTGGCCTCAATACTTCTCACCTGCCTCGGTAGTAGCCTGAGCACAGGAGTTCCATCATACCTGCCTTTGCCTTTGTTTTTGATAAGGGATCACCAGTCCCCACCTGGCCTTGGTTGAACTCCTCATCCCCTGCCTCAGCTTCAGCCTTGCTAGGATTGTAGCATACACCACCGTGCCCTGTTCCTGCAGAGGCTTTTTTTTTTTTTTTTTTTTTTTGCACGTGGTTGAGCACTACAAACTGAGCTACATCTCTAGCACTAAATTGGTTTTTTAGTAGCAAAAAAAAAAAAAAAAATCCTCTTTTCAACCCAATGTATTCATGAAAATATATAGACAGAATGGGCAATCTGGCACAAACATCCATGACTGATACAAATAACATCAACGTATTGTAATGCTGGTTGATGAGAACAGAGGGATGTGTGGATCAGCAGTTCAGGGGCATCTTTGGGTATGTAGGAGGCCAGGGCTAGCCTGGGCTATAGGCCCCCATCTCACAATAGAAAAAGAGAAGAGGTAAACAACGCAGGGCTCTGCCTGAGGAGCTGCCTCGTTCAGGGAGGTGGCTGCGGACCTGTGTCTGTGATGGGTTGGTCTTGAGGAACTCAGGAGCAGGTGGACGGCCATGTCTCTCCGTGGTACGGGGGGCCATTCCGAGGCCAGCATCCCTCAAAGCATAGACAGGGCGGGTACCCACGGAGAGATTTGCATCATTGGTGTTTGCTACCTGTGGCTGGCCTATATGAACTATACGGGGATAATACCACATTTCTCTCTCTTTTCTTAAGATTTATTTTATTTTATGTGTGAGTGTTTGCCTGCGTGTAAGTCTGCACCACATTCATGCAGCGTCTCAAGAGGCCAGAGGAGGGCATTGGATGTCCAGGAAGACACTGGAGTTAGAGGTGGTTGTGAGCCACCATGTGCATGCCGGGAATGGACCCAGGTCTTCTGCAAGAGCAGTGAATGCTCTTAAGCGCTGAGCTCTCTCTCTAGCCCCAGGTAACACATACTTCATACATGTACCACATGTCTGCAGTGCCTTTTTGGGTTAACAGGACATGGCTCAGCCAGTGGTAGTGTTGAGCAGGGCCTTAAAGACCTGCTAACCATTTGAAGTTGGTCTCTCATGTTAGCAGACACCTTGGGTCCCCGCTGTGAGCAGACTCTTGCATCTGTTCCCCGCCTTTGGCCAACTGCTCCTGAAGAGGCGGGGCTCTGCTGTTCTGTCCAGGTTCGGGAGGGTAGCACCAGCACCATCGTCAGGCTCATGGCCTTCCTGCTCGTCTGTCACGGGGTGGTGGCTTCCCTGGAGGGCCTCAAAGGCAGCCAGTGTCCAGAACCCTTTCTGAGCAGCCCAGAACTTCTATTTGGAGCAGACGCCTGCCATCCACAGCCTCTCCCTACTTTATCTCCCCCTCCAGGGCCCAGTCGGGCCCGGAAAATGCTGCCCATGGTGCATTATAGAGGTGACCCAGCAATGGCCTCATCTTCAGGCCCCGGGGCTGCTGGGGAAGACTGGGCAGGCCGCAGCTCCCCTGCTGTCCCTGTGAGCCCCACTTTGTTTCCTTTCCCCAGTCACACACCAGCAGGAGGCAGGGGAATGCTCTTTGTTGTTATGTAGCCCTGGAACCTGCTGTGTAGACCAGGCTGGCCTTGAACTCAGAGATCCCTGTCTCTGCCTCCCACATGCTGGGATTAAAGGTGTGCACCACCTCTCCTCTCCTCCTGGCTCTTGTTGCTGTTTGTTTGTTTTTTAAATTGAGACAGGAGCTCATGTAGCCCAGGGTGACATCGGACTTTATAGTAGCTGATGATGACCTTGATCATGACCCCCTGCCGGCCGCTACCCTCCACAGTGTGGGGATTACAGGTGTGGGCTGCCAGGCCAGGAGGGAGGAGGCATGGGATCCATTGATGGCCAAGGGGCCACTTCAAGAAGCTGCTGCCTGGCCACTCTTCTCAGCCCCTTCTCCCGCAGAAGTGCCCTCCCCAGGCTCCCACCCAGGGCTCCTCCAGTCCAGCAGGGCTCCGCAATGCAATGCAGAAGAGCGCGTCCAGGTTGTCGGTGTGCCTGGGGCCTGGATTCCCACTTGTGTCTGCCCAGCCGGCAGGCACTTTGTGGGCAAGGCGTTAGGAGTCCCCTGCCTTGCGACGCATCTCTGTTTTCTTGGATGGAGTTGGTCAGCACATCTAGGGAACTTGGTGGGCCAAGGCCTGGGTTCCATTGTTATCCCTCTGCATCAACCTGCTGGCCCCCAGCACGATGGCCCCCATCACCTGCTCTGCCTACCCGGTCACTCTTAACTCCTCCCAGCTTCCATTGGTGTCCTCGTCACATGCAGTGACTCACCAGACGTTTGTTGTTGTTGTTTTGATTTTTCGAGACGGGGTTTCTTTGTGTGGATTTGGCTGTCCTAGAACTCACACAGCAGACCAGGCTGGCCTGGAACTCAGAGAGATCTGCCTGCTTCTGCTTCCTGAGTGCTGGGATTAAAGGAGTGGGCCACCATCGCCAGATTCTTACAAGGATCCTGACCTGTGTTCACACTGTCCCAGTGTACTCCTGGAAATGTCCTAACTAGGAGAGAATCTGAGGTCCAGGAAATTAAAAGTCAAAGCTGGACGTGGTGGTACACAGCTAGAATCTCAGTCCTTGGGAGGTGGAGGCTGGAGGATCACGAGTTCAATGGTCACCCTTGCCTACAAAGCAAGTTCAAGGCCAACCCAGTCTACGTAATGTTCTACCAAAAATGGGGATGGTGTGTGTGGCTGGGGATGCGGCTCCGTTGGTGAAGTAGTTGCCTGCTGTGCATGGAGCCTGGGTTCCATCCCCAGCACCACAGGAAGCTGGGTATCCTGGCAACACCTGCAATCTCAGCATCAGGGAGGTAGAGGCAAGAGGGTCACGAGTTCAAGGTCATCCTCAGCTGCAGTTTAAATGGAAGCCAGCCTGGGAGGGAGAAAGGGGTGATAGGGCCCGGAATCCATACAGAGCACAGGGGTTGAATGTGTAACAGACACAAACTGGTACAGAAAGGCCTGGTGTACAGACATCCCATTCAGTAAGAAAGCCTGCTGCAGTTGACTAATGTTTTATTAAAAACCACACCCTCCCACTCACACACACCACGACGGAGGCAGAGATAGGGACCGGAGAAACAGAGCGGCCACATAGTGTTTCTATGTCTATGCAGGCGGGCCCAGAAGTCTGTCCACTGTACTCAGTGCAGTGCTAAGAGCCCAGAGTGGAGGGGTGTCTTCTGTGGCAGGCTGGGAGGAGGCTGCAGCCGCTTGATGCTCAGGAGCCCAATGTCCTGACAAAGCCAGGGAAGGCCTTGTCACCGGAAAAGTCCATAGCCACGCCTGGGGTCCTCCTGGGGTGAGCCTACATTTTGCAGGTCCTTTTGAGGGGACAGAGGGCGATGGCCTTGTCAGGCAGATGCATCTGGAGAGAGAAATGGGAAGTTAGGTCACCTTGCCAGGACCTGGAATCACCCTGAAGCCACCCGCAGGCTCCTGCTCCACATGTCCCGGCTCTGGAAAGAGTGGGCGTCTCACTGGATCTGGCACTCGCTGACTAGGGCCAGGGTCTCTGCCTGCCTCCAGCTCAGCGCTGGAGTTACAGATGTAGCCACCATATTAGCCCCGTTCCACTGAGTACTAGGGATCTGAACCCTGGTTCTCATGCCCTGCATAGCAAGCAGCGCTTGCTATGTTCTCCAGAAAGGAAAACAGAGGAGCAGAAGGACGACTTTACCGGAAGAGCATGTGCTGCTCACGCTCTTCCGGAGGACCCGAGTTCTATTCCCAGCACCCATGCCGGGGGGCTCGCAACTGTCTGTAACTCCAGTTCCAGGGGATCAAATACCCTCTTCTGGCCTCTGAAGGCACCTACATTCACACACACAGGAGCCCGCCCCCATCCTTAAAATCTTAAACAGTTGTGTTGGTTTGGGCTTTCTGAAATCTAATGTTTTCGTGTTACAGGACTGTGAAGTGTAGTCTGGTAGCCTTGAACTCTGGACCTCCCTGCTTCCACCCCCCACTGCTGGGATCACAAGCATTTACCACCAGCTCCACGATGTCACAATCAGTTTTTATTTCGTGTGGTGGTGCACACTGGGTAAACCGAGGCAGGAGGACTGCCAAAGGTTCGAAGCTAGCCTCGGTCTCCAAAGAACTTAAGGATAAAAACCACTAAGGACGTATAGCAGGGTTAATTAGTAAGGGCATTCATTATAGCAGGACTTAGTAACAAAAAAAGTCAAGCAAAACCAAATCCCTAGAACCGAGTAGGAAAACGGGCGAATGTCCCCGTCACTGAAAAATGAAATGAAGATTGAGAATTCCTGAGGGCATCAGGAAAACGCCTGGCATACGATGAAGTAGTGGGGGGCAAACGGCAGGCGTGTTTTGAGATAGGGTCTCACCCTGGCATGACACAAGCCACGTAGACCAGGCTGGCCTTGAACTCACAGAGATCCACCTGTCTCTGCTTCCCAGTGTCGGGATTAAAGGAGTGCGCCACCGTACCCATCTCTGGTTCTCTTGTATAAGCACAATTGCATGACTTTTTCAGAGAGGAAACACTGGGAAGAGACCAGGCACTGCTTGAGTGCTAGGCTTGGTGTGACACCCCCTGCAATCCCATTGCTTTGGAGGCTGAAGTAGGAGGATTGCAGGTTCAAACCTACTCTGGGCTTCATAGTGAGACGTTGCTTAAGAAAAGGGCAAAGCAATGAAGACTGCCCACATTTTGTAAGAGTTTGAAATGCCTGTAGAATCCCAGTACTTGGGAGGCAGAGGCAAAAAGACCAGAGTTCAAGGTCATGCAGTGAGCATCCCAGGGTGTGTCCCTGGGTGTGTAGAGACGGGTAGGAAGGCAGTCAGGGTCCTTGGGCCCCACCCTCTTCCTTCGGTGCCCCGCCCTCCAACTCTACTTGGTACAAGGCATTCCTCCTACCCCGTGCACCCTGCATCTCGATGACTGGTGCCTACCTGCCGACTGGGTTATATAGGTGATCTTGTAGGACAGCCACAAGCTTGCCAGGCAGAGGAAGCAGGCCAGGAACCCAAAGATCTACCGTGGGAGAGGAAAGGATCAGAGCTGTAGGGCCATCGCTCATTTTCTTCTGTGTCCTAGGAACAAAACTGGGGAGCCATTTCACCTAGCCACCTGGTCCGTACTCAGTTGCAGAGGGCAAGTTTGGAAAGATCCAATCTGGGGCTTCTGGTCCCCTGGTCAGGCCCAGGAGCCAGGTAACTCTGGCCCCTGGCTTGGGTTTATATTTACAGCCTAGTTGGGGCCAAGCTCAGAACCCTGATGATCCAGAACCAATAAAAAATGAGAGAGGTGGTATTGTTTGTAAATTTTAATTTGGATTTAAACCTTGGAACGTTCCAGCAGATTGATTATATGGCTAGCATCATTGGGTTTCATTGGTAACAGCCCCTGGTCTCTGCCAGTTTTACAGCCTCAGAAGAGCTAAAAGCGGAAGCCTCGAGTTCAGCTTTATGTCTACGCATATTTAAATCATAACAGTAAAAGTAAGTTAGGGCCAGACTCCTACCCTTTCCAGGGTCCATCTAGTGCTGGGTTTGAGGAGGGCTGGACTTGACCTAATAGGCTCCTCAAAGATGGCTGAGGGAGAGCAATCATGGCCCTGGTATCTGGGGACCCGGGAAACTGGTGGCCATGCACTCTCCTGCCACACCCTCCAGTAGCCACTGGGGAGTGATTATACATCTGTCATGTTTCTAAGCCTCCGGGCAGCTGAGTCTTGAACCTACAGACCCCCAAGGGGGGGATATGCTCCACCCCCGCCCTTCCTGTTTCACAGCTAAACCAGGAGAGGGACAGGAAGCTACCTTTTTTGCTTAAGACCCCAGAGCTCGCCGGGGCCAGGTACAGGGTCTGACCCTGGGTAGTGGGCTCCAGGACTCACACTCTGCTAGCCTGTGGCCCAAGTGTCCTCAGACCCACACAAAGGCCTTGCTTAGGTCATCATGCTCTCACTAGTATAGCCCTGATTGACAGCTGACATTGGACAGGTGTGGTCCAGGAGCAGCCAGACAAAGGTTAGATTTCCAAAAAGGTTTGGTGTTCTTCCAGGCCCAGGTCAGTTAGGTAACCTGCTGTCCCTAGCAGCCTGTGCCCCAAAGCATTCTTGTTGCCTATCTTTGTACAGATTGTCTGAGTCACATAATTAGCTGACTAGGGCCAGGCCTTGCCTCCCATTGTCTGTCCTACACAAGTAGGACATTACTACCACCCAACCCCCAAGTGTCTGCACTGCACCACGGGACAGTTTATTATTACAACCCTACAGAATGCTAGTCTACACCACAGTGCCTCGTTTGCTAATTGTCACATGGGCCCCGTCCTCCTCGCCTAAGCTAGAGGGCTACTTCCTCATGAACAGGGAGCTCATTTTGTTTTATTTTTTTTCTGGCTTCCCTGTGGTGTGATAAATGTTAGCTACTGGGCCTGACACAGTTTATGTGTGGCCTGGTTATAAAAGCCAGTGGGAAACCCTTTGTGTGTGTGTGTGTGTGTGTGTGTGTGTGTGGTGCAGGGCGTGTGGATCCCTGCCCTCTTCCTTGGCATGTACCTTTGTCAGGCTGGTTCTAACCTGCAGGTAGCAGCCACCTGTCTGCTAGGAGGTTGCATGGAGCGCGGAGCTGAAGGTACATCGGGGCTCCACTGTTTACGGGCGTGGCCACCCCTTGCAGACATGTTTGGTCCTCACTGTGAGGACCTGAGCAGAGAGTCAACCTAGGGGAAACTCCAGGGGCAAATGGGCAAACAGGACGATAGGCCACAGTCTGGAGAATCCTGGGGATATTTGTAAGTGGAACTAATTGTAAAAGTCTGAGCTCAGTTGGTAGAGAGCTCGCCCAGCTTGCAGGAAGTCCTAGGCTCCACCCCCCAGCACCACAGGCTAGGTGTGCAGGCTGTTGCACACCTTAGAGCCTAGCACTGTGGGACTGCGGTCAGGACAATCTCAAGTTGAAGGACATCCTTGGCTACTTATTAAGTTAGAGGCCATCCTGGGCCACCAGAGACCAAGCCTTAAAACAAATACACAAAACAATTCTTGCCTGGGTACTGACCGAAGCCCGCTCAGATATGAAGTTGGCAAAATCACAAATCAGACTCTCTAGACCTTTGAAAAATGTTTCAGCCATGGGTCCATACGTGTGTGCACTCCTGTATGTCACGTATGTCCCACAGTGCTGAGTTCTGTACAGTCTAGCTAGCTGTGCACGCTATTAGATGGGTCACTGTCACTTCTGAAAGAGGTAAGGGTGCCCCTTCTAGGCCTGAACACTGACAAAATTAACGATGGGCGGTGGGATGAGCCTTGGTTGGTGCAGTGCCCGCCTACCATGCAGGCAGCCTAGGGTTCAATTCCCGGCACGGCAAAACATCTGGGCAAGGGTGGAGCACAGCTATAATCCCAGAACTCAGGAGGTGGAGCAGTAGGGTCAGAAGTGCAGGTCACCCTCAGCTACACAGTGAATTGAGGGAGGAGGCCCAGCTACTACTGTAGCCGTTTACGTCTGTCAGCAGTCCTTGTCTACCTTCCCGGACCCTCTGATTAGAGCGCAGGTGCCAGGCTCTTTGGAGAGAGCGGCTGTCTGGGTTGAGGCACACGTGGGTTCTAAGAAGAAAGGCCCCCAGATCTACCCCTTCCCCGGCCCCTGTCGGGGAGAAAGGAACTGAAATCTGAATGGATAACTAAAAACATGTCAGGGCTCCCCCTACCAGGCCAGTCTGGTAACTCTTGGAGGCAGCCACGATGGAGGCGATGAGCAGAAGCACGGTGCCGATTAAATAGTGCAGAAGTTCCTGGAAGCCGGGGCAGAAGAAAGAAGACGTGAATGGGCAGCCACACTCTCTCCCTTGGGACATTCAGGCCGGAAGAAGTGCAAGTCTCAGGAGACCAGTGTAGAAAGCTGCGCCAGGGAGAGCCACGCTGGAGAGAAAGGATGCCGGGCAAGCAGAAGGAGACAGAGACAGGGACATCTCTGGTGAACAGAGCCGGTCACTGAGAACTGCCCAGTTCCCTAGATGAATTTGTGAATCTTTTCCTTCTGTGCTAGGTTTAACCCAGCATAAAACAAAACAAAACAAACAACAAAAATAACAGATATCAAAAGCAAAAGCACCAAGGTCTCTCTCTCTGTCTCTCTCTCTGTCTCTCTCTCTCTCTCTCTCTCTCTCTCTCTCACACACACACACACACACACAAGCACTCACACATTGGGCTCTCTGTCTGGTGATGCATATCTATAAAAACTCATACCTAGTCTTACAGTCAACATGGAAGACAGTGCTTCCCTTCAGAGGTCACAGAAAAGGCCGTGACACGTGACACCCTCTTGCCACTCCTATCCAACATTCAGCCCCTCTGTCCTGCTAATTCTTCACAATAAGGCAAGGCGTCTACATTGGCCAAAAGTGAGCTATTGATATTTGTGGATGGTGTGATCTAGTACATAGTGGATCCTAAGGAATTCACTAGGTCCCTGTTAGAACTGATGAAGGAGTGCCTTTATGCTCCTAAAAAACAGGCACAAAATTAAGACTGTCGGGTGTGATAACACAGACTTCTAACTTGGGAGGCAGAGGCAGGAGGATCTCCGTGAGTTTGAGGCCAGCCCGGCCTACATTGTAAGACACTGTCTTCAAAATAGAGCCTTCTGGTTTATCTTCTCCGCCTCTGCCACCAAGTGTCACCATTGAACTCTCTCAACAGTGTACACACCCTCACCAGCTCCTTCCTTCAAGGCCTGTCCTCCTGTGCCCCGCACACACAGCAGATAAGAGTCCCAGCCTTCCGACCCTGGGAAGCGAGTTTGAGAACCCTCAGGAGGCCAGCAGAGATGCCCAGCAAGCAGTGAAGAGTCAGGGTGGAAGCAGCCATGTCCCAACCCCTGCGTGCTGACAGTGGGGCCCCGCCCTCCTTACCGACAGGGGCCAGCTGATGCAGGTGAGCACTCGGTAGAAGCGGAAGAGGTGGACCAGGTAAAAGATGAGAATCATTATCAGGTCGCAGATGGTGACGACTTCAAAGAAGGTGTAGGCGCCATAGTCCACCCGAGGGGAGCTTCGCACACAGATGAAGGCAATCAGCAGGGTGACCTGCAGCAGACGTGAGGATGCTAGCACACTTCTGCCCAACACGGGCACCCGGGAGAGGGGGGACAAACGGGAACCCAGTGGAACCGTCCCTCACAATTCAAGCCTGAATTGACACATTGCTACCATCCAGGTTATTCCCACACACATTGGCTGGGAGGATGGAAGAATTTGCTTTCACATAACACAGGCTTTAAAAATACATTCAGGGGAGCCAGGGCTTATGTATTAGCTAAAGCTAATAATATTCAGCTATTTCGGACGGCAAAGGCAGCAACTTATCCATTGTCCTCATCAGTGGACATAAGTTATCACTGACTGACGTGTGGCATACGTGATCCAGTTGGAGCATCCAAGAACTCTGCCAGGTAGACAAAAATCATCCTTTGTTTCATATAGGGAAATGGAGCCATACTGAGTCACTAACTAATCCAGCTGGCTCAGCTTTAGGCACTCACATATTTGAATCAGTGTCTGTGCATGTGTGCACGCACACACACACACACAGAGCCAGAGGCTGACATCCCATCATGCCCCAGAGATAACGTACACATGGCTAGCGTTTTCACATGGGTGCTGGGCACCCAAACTCGAGTCCCCCTGGCAAGCACTCTACTGAATGCCATCTCCCTATCCCTCTGCTCTGCCGTACATGCCCTTGTTCAGGTAAAGCCCACCTCAGAGATTCTAGCTTTCACAGCATCCACTGTGGACTTGGGTGGCTCCAAGAGGTTTCTGTTCTAAGGAGTTAATCATCCTAACTGGTAGAAAGAAACAAAACACTACCTGTAACCTAGGCTCTTCGGAGGCTGAGGAGATTGCTAAGAGTTTGAAGCCAGCCTGAGCTGCACAGGGAATTAGAGTCAGCTTTAGGTACATAGTAAGACCCCACCATAACACAAAATAAATACAAAGAGCAACAACACAGTGTCAGGGTATTAAAAGCTCGATGGTCCGAATTGGTCCCTGGGACCCACACAGTGGAAGAGAGAACTGACTTACACACATTGTCCTCTGGTCTCCACAAGCATGCCCCTGTAATAAATAAACACATATAGCAATAAAAGTGTTTCCAAAGAGCAGTAACAAGAGCTGGGCTGTGGTGGTGCACGCCTTTAATCCCAGCACTCAGGAGGCAGGCAAATCTCCAGGTTTGAGGCCAGCTTGGTGTACAGAGTGAGTTCCAGGACAGCCAGGGCCACACAGAGAAACTTTATCTCAAAAAGCCATAAAGGAAGCAAGCAGACTCTCTTAGTTCTTTTTTCCTGTTTCTAAATACTCTGACAAAAGCAACTTAAAGGGGGAAGGGTTTTAGTGTTATATTTGAATGTATTTGGCCCTCATAAGCTCATAGACAGTGCCACTCTTAGGAGGTGTGGCCTTGTTGGAGGAAGTGCGTCACTGCGGGGGCGGGCTTTGAGGTCTCATATGCTCAAGCCATGCCCAGTGTCTCAGTTCACTTCCTGTTGCTGGCAAGATGAAGCACTTTCAGTTACCTCCCCAAAACCACATCTGCCTGCATGACACCATGTCACCATGGTAACGGACTAAACCTCTGAACTGTAAGCCATCCCATTAACTGTTTCTTTATAAGTGTTGCTGTGTCTGGCAGTGGTGGCACACGTCTTTAATCCCAGCACTAGGGAGGCAGAGGCAGGCAGACCGCTGTGAGTTCCAGACCAGGTTGGTCTACAAGAGCTAGTTCCAGGACAGCCTCCACAGCCACAGAGAAACCCTGCCTCCAAAAATAAAAAACAAACAAAGAGTTGCTGTGGTCTCGGTGTCTCTGCACAGCAGTAGAAACGCTAAGACAGTCTGGCTCACATTTCAGTGGTGCAGTACTTTATGGCCAGGAACTCCGTGCAGCAGGATCTTGACGCATTGCTCACACCTCATCCACAATCAGGAAGCAGAGGGCTAACTGTCCCCAGCGTCCCTCTGTCTCCGTTTATACTGTCCAGAGCCCAACCAGGGATCAGTGTCTCCCACACTGAGCAGAATGTCCCACTTCGTGTGTGTAAATGGACACAGGGTACAGTGCAAGTGTGGAGGTCAGAGGACAAGTGTTCAGGGGTCATTTGTCTTCCTGCACCAGAGTTCTGGCTGTAAGAGCCGTTACAAGCTGAGCCATCGTGCTGGCCTTGGTTTATTTCTGAGACAGAGTTTCATTATCCCAGCCAGCCTCTGCTTCCCTGTGAATGAGGATGACTGTGAACATCTGTCCTCCTCTGTCCCCTCCTGGACTGAGACCACAGGCACGCGTGTGTCATCACATCCAGCTTTATGTGGTGCTGGGGAATGAATCCTACTCCGCAGCCCAGGAACAGCCACTTTTTAAGACTTATTTAATTGCATTGTATGTACTTTGGTATTTTGCTTGCATGTATGTCTGTGTGAGGGTGTTGGGTCCCCTGGAGCAGGAGTCACAGATAGTCTAGAGCTGCCATGTGGGTGTTGGGAATTGAACCCAGGTCCACTGGAAGAGCAGCCAGTGCTCTTTGCAAGACATTTATTCCTATTAGTTTTAATTATGTGTATGTGCATGTGAGTGAGTGCAGGTGACAGAGAGAGCCGGAGGCATTAGACCCCCTGGAGCTTGGAGTCACTGATGATCAGTTGTAAGCCACCTGACATGGGGCTGAGAGCCAAGCTTGGGTCCTCTGTTAGAGCAGTAAGTGCTCTTACTGCTGAGCCATCTCTCCAGCCCAGCAACAGGCACTTTTAAAACAGGCAAGGCAGACAGATCTCTTAAGAGTTCAAGTCCAGCTTGGTCTACATAGCAAATTCCCAGCCAGCCAGAGCTACATGGTAAGATCTCAAAACAAATAAAAACAGAAAACAAAACAACAACAAAACCAAAATGAAACCGTCAAACGAAGAAAAACTCAAAGAACATACTTGGCATGTACTGAAAGTAAGAGTTGCTCTCTGTCAAGGGACAATGATGGGCATGGGTGTGAAGGAACCACCTAACACCTGGGCCTGGGGTTCTGCCTGACACTGTCCTATGGCTACAGACACCACACGGGCAGGCTTAGCTGAACTGCAGCTGATGTCACTGACAGCGTTGTCCCAAGGGCGACACAATAGCCCTGTGTCAGGGACCAGTGGAGAACAGCGTGGTAAACCCCCACCTCTGGGCCACAGCCCTGGTGGGTGAGAGTTCTGAACCACCTGCTGCCTGGAGGCAGGCTTGCAGGCAGGCCTGGAGAACTGAGCTCTGCTGTGGGCAAATGACAGCTGCTGGCGACATTCAGGAGCATCAGGAAGAAGCACCAGCCTCCAGCATCCTCTAGACACCCATGTATGCTTCCCTAGGAGAAGAAGGATCTAGGACCGAGTGCTCTCACACATTGCTCTTCTTAGCATTAAATGTGACCCCTCCTTGAACCGATGAGATAGCTTAGTGAATAACGGTGACTGCTGCCAAGCGTGATCGGAATTCAATCCTTGGGGCCCTCGCGGGAGGGAGAACCAAGCCCCTGTGGGCTGTCCTTTGACCTCCACATGTGTACTATGGCATGTGTGTACCCACAGACTTAACAGCAGGCTTGTCCCGCCAGGCCTGGTTTTGGCAGTGCTGGGGATTGAACCCAGGACTTCTTGCATACTAGGTAAACAACACTCTACAGACTGAGCCACATCACTAGCCGCCCCTACACATTTTATTGCAAGCTACCATCCTGCTGGTTCTAGGACAAGCCATTCCAATTACCACACTGGAGGGTGCCCAGAGGAGGTGACATCAGCCTGACTCACAGCAGCTTAGACTCAGGACTCGCAGGGCTGACCCTTGAGAGTCCTGTCTAGTCAGCAGTAAGTACTTACTGGATGTCATTAAGATTTTTTTTTGGTGGGTGGGGATGGGGGGTTGGGACAGAGTTTCTCTGTGTAGCCCTAGCTGGCCTGGAACCTGCAGAGATCTGCCTGCCTCTGCCTTCTGAGTGTTGGGCTTAAAGGCATGCACCACCACTGCCTAGCTAAGATTTTAACTATTTATTGTGCAGAAAGCTAACTGATACATCTGTTTTCAGAACTTGCTTGGCTCAGACTACCCTTGCTTTTAGGAAGGGAACAAGAATATATTTATGTCACACTGGGGAGGCGGAGGCAGGCAGATCTCAGTGAGTTCAAGTCCAGCCTGCTCTACAGAGTGAGTTCTGGGAAAGCCAGGGCTACACAGGGGACCCATTTATTTGATAATATTCACTGAGTACCAACCACATCCCCAGTTGTCAGTCAGGATATTAGATTACACTGAGGCTAAGCATGGTGGCCCTTGCCCTTAATCTCAGCATGGACAGAGGCAGGAGGATTGCTTCAAGTGCTACAGAGTGAGACTATCTGAAAACCAAAACTAAAACCAACCAACCAAACAAACAACAAACAAAAAAACCAGTGTAGGGAGTGGGGTGTAGTTTGTCTGGCAGAGTGCTTGCCTAGTGCTCACAAAGCCCTAGGTTCAACCCTGAACCCTTTATAAGTCAGGCATAGTTAGCTGTACAAGCCCAATTCCAGCCCTTGGGAGGTGGAGGAGGGAGGATCTGAAATTCAAGGCCATTTTCTCCTATGCAGAGAGTTAGAGACTAGCTTGAGACCGCATCTCAAAAAACAAACAACTGGTCTCGGGTTGGTGGTGCACACCTTTAATTCTAGCACTCAGGAGGCAGAGGCAGGGGGGATCTCTGAGTTGGAGGCCAGCATGGTCCACAGAGTGGGTTCCAGAACAGCCAGGTTTACATAGAGAAACCCTTTCTCAAAAAACAAAAAACCCAAACAACTGGCTGATGAGATGTCACAGCAGGTAAATGCACTTGCCATGCAAGCCTGATGTCAGAGGCCCATCCCAGAGCCCAGGTGGTTTTCTTCTGACCCCCAAAATGTGAGCCACGGGATACACGCCTACACTCACACACACATGATAACGAGAAAGTTTGAAGCAAAGTTTGAAACAAAAGCCCACACTGGCTCCCATTTTGCCAGGGGGAGTCTCCAGGAAGCTC